CATATGATAAAACTTAGCCCAGCCAAATAGAGAAGCATGTTCACAAAGAGCAACAACCTAACATTGTCAGTCATCGCTAGAGTACAAGGAACTGCCCATTGACCACAAAAGCACTCGAAGCTCTAGAGTACAGCCTTATTAACTCAAAGAGGAAGAGAAAGAATTTGGATAACTCATACAATAACTCGAAGTCACAATGTTTACGTGCAACTGTGGAACAACTGTTGGTATTACCACTAACAATGGCACTGATAATATAATGGCAGAGGAGGTGAATGAACTCCAGGCACAAGGCACGAGCAATCTTAGTAGCGAGGCTCGCTATTACTTGTGAAAAGATTGGCCTATCCTCTTCTTAAAGGACGTCAAGTTCATAAATTTTTTTTGAGGCGCTCATAGTTTCATTCTTTGAAAGGCTTCCACAATTATGCAAGGAGATCAAAGCTATCACAGCCTATACTTGTTTTCATCAGAATGTGACAGAGAATAATAAATCATCGTATCAGTGGATCACGTGATTTAAACATGATCTTTGGTGCTGAATCTTATTTCCTATCAGACTGACGGGAGTCTAAATTATGGTTTGATGATAAAAGGTTTGCCTCACCTCAGCTTTTCATTTCATGATTTAATTAGCCTGACTGAGGAAGCCTAGCAGATATAGGTGCAAGTTAAAAGGCATTCTACAATGACTTGTAACTACTACCACAAATTTTCTCCTCATTAATAGTGACCTCTTAATAATCGTAGTTATTTGTTAGATCAATTTTATACATGTTATAAAGGTTTTTTACACATTTTGTTATGTGAGCTATAAATAGCACTGATTTGAATAGATCAGTGCAAGTCTTCATCGTTTGAAAAAAGGAAGGTCCATTCCTTTTTTGACTCACATATTTGACCAAGTCAAATGATGTTTGTTTTCGACCATGCAACTCCTAACTAGTCAAGTTCCCAATTTCCTTTGTTAGTGTCTTCATCACATTAAGTAGATAAGGGTTTATAAGTTGACAGGATCAGGGTGTGCGGAAAATGAATGTGGGTTTTCTTCAAGCCTTCTCGTTAGTGCTGGTCCTAAGGTAGTAGGTTACTTGATAGACATTCTCTTGGTTCAGGACTTGGTCAGAGAGGCCCGGTCCATCTGCAGGCCATTAGATTTAATTTTTAAACAGAGAAAGCCGTGTTTGAATATTTTAGAACAGCTTCAGTTCTAGTGCGATCTCTTCAACTCAAGAACAACGTAGCTGTGGTGAGGTAGATTGAAAGGAAAGGTGCTTGCTTATTATTATATATTGAGTAAATGAGCAAATTACTTTTCAAATTTTAAGTCCATTAATATTAAGATTTTGAACTTATTTATTGTGCAAATTATTCTTTTAAGTTAACTTTAATCTTTTTTTTTGGGTCAAAATCGTTAGTTGACCAGAAAATGAAAGAAAGTAATATAAAAAATTACAAAAAATGACCAAAAAAATAATTTTTTGGTCCTTTTTTTTTTTGGTAATGTTCAATATTTTTTTTATTTTATGGTCAACTAATGATAAAAGTTAACTTTTATTAACAACAAAAATCAAATTGCACAATTTTTAAAAGTTGAGAAAACGATTTGTATAATAAATAAGTTTGGGGTTTATGATACTATTAGATATAAAGTTTGGGGATAATTTGCTCATTTACCTTTATATATTTATGAAAAGTTTCTATTTTTTTTTAATACAAAAGACATAGAAAACCTGCATAAAAGGTAAACAGAAATCAAATCATGTCAGGTTTCATAAAGGATCTGCATCGTGAAGTGGATGATTAAAAATAATACAATCGAAATTTCCTAGAGAGGCTTGGTGAGTGAGTATGTTTGCATATTTGTTTGCTTTCCTGAACGTGTGGTTGAAGATAATGATCTAATCTTTTATGACAAATTTCTTGACTTTGTTGATAATTTCAAAGAGAGGATGATTGTCAAGAAAATTATGTTGAATAAGTGAGAAGGTTTCTATGGAATCAGAGTGTGTGCCGAATAAGTAAGCATGAAAACTTTCTATATTTTAATTGTATTTGTTTTTAGTTCTTATAAATTTATTTCCTTGTTTTTAATCTCTTTAATTCGATCCATATGTAACATTAATATATATAATTTAAAAAATGTACATAAATAACATGAGTTGTTACTGACAGAGTTAATTATTTCGATATAACTATGCTAACTACTTTGTTGATATGGTAAAAGTATGTCCACATGAAAATAGATTGACAATGTATGAATAAAAATAAAATGTAAAGGGGAAAAGGCTTTCGTATATATTAAGATTATACCAGTGTGAAAGATGAAGACAAAATTAAATGCACATCAATAAAAGGGTTGAAAAAGTTTAGTACACATCAATAAAATTAATTCTGTCAATGCCAACTCATGATCTTGCATTTTTAAAATTAAAGAATTAACGTTGCAGGTGAATCCAATTAAAAGAATTGAAAATAAAAAAATAAAATTATAAGAAATAAAAATAAAATACAATGATATCTACCGTTATATTCTCTCTATATTTATTATAAATATTCCAGATGAAGGAATTGCCTGCTGCATGAAGCCATGAAGTTATGTTTTTTCACAACTCAGACCTGTGATTAACAAGTCACACCGCGACAACTTTATCGTTGCGCCAAGGCACTCCTCCTTATAAACATTCCAATTATTAACGTTGGATGCTCAAGGTAATAAAATAATTGTTGTCAATTTTTCAGCTCCCGAGGCTCCATGCAGGCTTTGATGAGCGACTGAATACTTTAAAAAATCAATATTCAAGTACGTATTCCACCTAATCAAAACACGTCCATATCAACAAATATTAGTTTTATGAATTATCTTTCCTTAGATAATCAAATTGTCACAAAACGAATTTAATATTCTCGAGGGAAAGCATAATCCGCCATTGTCCTTTATGTCGGTTTTTTCTGTAAGGTTGCTTTGTCTCTGTCAACTAGTAATCAGGTCAATTTATAATTATCAAAAAATCAGAAATCCAATTTCCGCAATAACGGTTATAAATTGGGTTTACTGTAAGATAGTGATGAAGAAATTAATCTGTGGGATATATAGTTGATAACAACGTTGGGAGGCAAGCTTTGTCGTTGCATTGTTTAACGTATGCAGGGTTCGTTCATCAAATATATCGATCTATATAAGATTGATAATTCCTACGAGGGATTCTTGTTCGTCGTTTCTCGAAAGTTTTAGATGAAGAAACATAGATAGATATATATATATATATAGAGAGAGAGAGAGAGAGAGAGTATTTTCAATGACAAGGCCCTCAAAATTCTCTGACTCGAAGTTTGAAGCGTAGCCCATGTTTGATATTCTGATTTGTGTCTCCTTGTTTGCTTCTTGTTTGTTGGTAAAAGCGTGTGGGGGCTACGAAGTTCAACATAGAACAAATGACAGAAGAAAAGGGAAGAGATCTTTTTTTTTTTTTGGGTAAAGAATATCTAATTGAGATAATGACTGCTTTTATTAATAATTATGAACAACCCAAATGTGAAAAAATATTATGAAGGCATCGATTTGAGACCTTTCTACGGAATCTTTAAAAAAAAAATTGCCAGAACCTTTCAAGCAATCTTAGCTTAATATTGACATTTGCACTAATTAACTGCTGCTTCCAAGAAAAATTGTAAATTTATTTCTAGACAGAAGATTATTTTATAGACTTGCTTCGTATTCAATCTTTCTTAACAATAATAATAGTTCCCTAGCCGGGGAAAAAATTTCTGAGATTTTCTTACATTCTGCTGAAACAATCTGAACCGCTACAACATGCATCATGTGGCAATTATCAAACCTTCAACAACATATGCGTCATTCTTGTCAAATTGATCATAATATGAATATATGCTTTACATGTTCTATTAAAAAATATAAGAAAGATATTATTTTCAACATGAAATTGGACATGTACATCTCTATATTATCATATTATCTCACTTTTTTTTTAATTTTATCTTGTTCCATTTTGTTTTATATTCCAAAGAAATTCAAAAATACCCTGATTTTTAATTTCCATCTCATGACACACGCACACACTGGAATCTTAAAGAGATTATAGGATGCTCTTAGTAAATGTGGTTATGGAAAGATTGCGTCTAGGTTAACTCGGAAGCAACCAAGCATCTTTTATGTCATATATATATATATATATATATATGAAGAGATATATATTCCCCATTGCCTCGCTTTGTTTCCTTCGATCGTTTGGATCAAATTAATGACACACTCCCAATTCGGCTTCTCCAGCTGATTATTGTTTATTTATTTATTTATTTATATATCTGAGCTTCGTTGCCGTTGGTATTTATTAAGTTGCTAAATATATAATAGAAGAATTCAGGAAGCTCTTAAGTACTAGCTCCAGGCATTCCGACCAATAACGCATATGTGTAGGTGTGTTATTATTCCATTAGTCTTTAATTACAAAGTTAAAGATCATGAAAACAGCCATAGCGGGAAACAAATTTTATATATATATATATATATATAAAACAATTTATATGGGGGAAAGCTGTTGAACATAATATATTTATATATATATTGTTTTCATATCAGTTATAATACAATGTGATATAGTTTACCTTCAAAATATATTTAATGGGCTTATTTTTTTTTTAGAGGAATTTGAATCATGACAAGTGAATTTGAAAAAGAAAGACACTTGACCACTTAATTAACTAGCTAAAATAATAATTTGGTTGTGTATACGATGAACTTTTAGAAATATTTTCTCAAACGCTAGTTGAGCTGAAAAAATAGAGAGCAAGAGGATATATCATATATGGAACACTCAAACTGTCGCACTCTATCGATCGGTTACTGTAAAAAAATAAAGAACTAAAACAAGATATTGATACAAAGAAAGAAAGGGGACATCATCGGCCTTGCAAGTTGTCTTTCATATATAAATATAAAAGGCCAAGGTCGATGACTTTTGCTTCCAATTACTGCCCGCCTCATCAAGAAGATCAGAGCGATCCTCCAACACTTTCTGGGTTTTTGTCTTCCTCTTCTGCCAGATAAAGAACGTACAGGAACGAAATAGAAGAAACAAGACCGACAGAAAAATGTCAAACGTTTCAGGCGATGAAAGAAGCTTCTCCTCCGGGAACACGGGAGAAGTAGAAGTCCATCAAGAAGTCAACGACGATCAACAGCACCAACACAACACCACTTCAGCTCCCAATAACTCTGCTCCTTCCAACAGTAAGAAACCACCACCCAAGAAGAAGAGAAACCTTCCCGGAACACCAGGCATGCCCCACATACATATTTCTCGTTTTTTTATCATCATTTAATCTCTTATAATGAAGTCCAAGTAAACTGGCCGGTGAATGAAACAGATCCGAACGCTGATATTGTTGCGTTATCACCGACGGCACTCATGGCGACGAATAGATTCGTGTGCGAGATATGCAACAAGGGGTTTCAGAGGGACCAGAACCTGCAGTTGCACAGGAGAGGGCACAACCTGCCATGGAAGCTGAGGCAAAGGTCGAGCACGGAGGTGAAGAAGAGGGTGTACGTGTGCCCCGAGCCCTCGTGTGTGCACCATAACCCAGCTCGAGCTCTGGGAGACCTCACCGGCATCAAGAAGCATTACAGCAGGAAGCATGGCGAGAAGAAATGGAAGTGTGACAAGTGCTCCAAAAGATACGCCGTCCAATCTGACTGGAAGGCCCACCAAAAAACCTGTGGCACCAGGGAATACAAATGTGACTGTGGCACCATTTTTTCCAGGTATATATCTTCCCCTAAGAGTTGATCGCACCCAACCAGTTTAACCAGTAAACCATACCTTGATTGGTTCAATAAAATGTTTGCTCATGACTACTCTTACCGGCTTCCATGTGCCTTGACCAATCTAATTTTCAGTAACTTGCTTGAATCGTTTATTGATAATAAATGAATAGTGCAGGAGAGATAGCTTCATCACGCACAGGGCTTTTTGCGACGCTTTAACTGAAGAAAACAATCGCGTGAACCAAGGATTAACCAGCAGCATGCAACCAAACATGCAAAATCATCTGACAGATCTGATGCCCGCCCTCTCCCCGGACCTCGGTCCAAGCCCATTCAAGCCTACGAGCATTGGGCCCATGTTCTCTACCACGTCAGGATCGCTCTTCTCTGGCCCAAGGCCCATCTCTCCCTCCTCCTCCTCGGCGCTCCAGCTAAGCCCCAACGCTTGCTCCACGGCTTTCAATTACTTACTGGATAGCAAAAACTTGGGCCCAATGATTTCTGGATTGGCCCAAATGTCTGCGACAGCTTTGCTACAGAAAGCAGCCCAAATGGGTGCCACCGCGAGCAACAGCATCAACTCTCCAATGATGCAGAAGAGCTTCGTCACTAGCATGGCTGGTCCTGATCATGTCTCTTCCATGAACAAACTACCATTTTCTGGTGCTGATCCTTCCTCCTATGATCATTTCCATCATCCTCATCGTGATCAACCCGACATGGCTGGGAATAGTGGCGGCGGACCATTCACCAATCAACTGTTTCACAAAAGCCCACAGGAAATTTCACAACTGTTTGATGCCACAAATGCTGCTGGATCTGCAATTACTGATATGGGCATGTTCAGCCAGATTTTCCTCGCAAGTGATCAGAACCCAGGATTGATGATGAAAAACAATGCGGAAGGAGAGAACAGCGGTGGTTCAAGTTTGATAATTCACGGGAGAGATGTGGGAGAAGGGAATCCGATGGGGCCAAATATGGCGACAGTACATGATTTCTTGGGTGTTGGGGAACCACAGCCACAAAGGTTGGAGATAGAAGCGATGAATCAGCAGGGGGTATCAGTTATGAATCAGTTTGAACACCATCTTCCTCGTGGGGATTCAGCTTTGGATAAATCCATTTGGGATGTTTGAGTTTGCTTTTAATTAATTAGTTGGGGCAAGTTTGGCACTGGGACGTCCTTTGGGATTGTTGGTTTCTGGATGGAACATGCACTCAAGGATGTTAGTGAAATGGGAAAGGAAGCAACAACATTTGAATGGTGAATGCCACATTCTCAATTATCAGAGGAAGGATTGTGTTTTTACAGAATTGAAATAACAGATTTTTACCTGCCAAGACAACGAAATGTTTTATTGCGCATGTGTCATATTGTTGATGCCATGAATCATGTCTCGATGTCTTCTCTCTCTTTCTCTCTGCTGTTTTGGAGGCAGTGATGCTAAGATTTTAGGAAGAAAAGAAAATTGTCACAGTTGCCCGCTCACTCCCTCTTACCACTCTCTTTCTCCGCATTGTCTTCAACTTTGTTCCCAACCTGCGTTCTCATCAATATACACGATGCCTCATTCCCATCCATGCCCTCCTCTCACCCCCCGCTTTTCTTCTTTCACATTTATCGACACATGATTAATTCTACTTGCCTTGTTTTTCATATATATATATATATATATATATATGCGATTACTCAGATGAAAAAATGTATTAGAATTTTATGGTTTCACCTTCTGTTTTTTATTTCTTTTGTATCATTATATACATTTTTTACCAAATTAATTTTTTTGATATAAAACATGAAAATATATTTTGAGACAATATATGATGATTTTTAATATCAATAATTCAGTTTTAAAATATTTTGATGAATGGTAATTTTAATTGTAATATGATCTTTACCTTCAATTTATTTTGATAAAGATAACTACATGAGACAAAATATATTATAATATAGGATATTATAGTCATTGTGTCATTTGTTCTTTTTATATTTTTTTTCTATTCATCCAAATAGGAGTGATGTTGTATCATTTTTCAACTTTTCCTAAACTCCCAAAATAAACTTTTACTTGTACAGATTATATCAATATTCATTTTTTATCTCATAACTCTACATCAGTATCAACATCAAATATTAATTAGCAACCCCACCACAGACCACAGTCGACATAATACAGGGCTCTAAATCCCTCGACTATTTTTCCCCAAAGCGTCAGCCACTTCGTTGTTCTCTCTAGGCACCTAATCTCGAGGTCTAAACTCCTTTCTTATAGGAAGTGTGAGGTTTCTAATAGTGCAGCAATTTTTCCTTCATACTTTTATATATTGGAGCTTCGGACTCTCAATAAGCGAAAATAGAGCCACCTGAAAAACAAAGTACTTTCATAACAAGAAAGAATCAAACTCAAACAACCTTATGGTATGAAGGAGAAGATCATTCCTGAGTTCAAAATCACTTTCAGCTATATTTATTTCATTTTGCATACCAAACAGATACCAATGTTTTTGGCGCTTAAAAAAGGTTTATTACACAAGGTTAGCAAACAATTAAATGCACTATTTCTGTACATGAGAAAGAAACCAGTGGATGGTAGCTGCAAGGTTGGAATGTCAAAATTGAATTCTCTGAAGTGAGCTTATATATACTCAACGCCAAGCCGGGGACATCCATGTAATAGTAATACAAATAATCAAGGAAAACAAAAATCTCCTGTGAAGCGACAACCGCAACCGCAACCGCATCTAAAATTTGACTCAGGCGCTGAACCTGAAAGTGAAACCAGAGATAGGTTGCGACCCACAGATCAGATGACAACAAATGCCACGCACAGTGCTGTGGACAAAAACCATATGAAGCAAACAAACGCAAAAAGCACGACGCTAATAGGAAATAGTGTATCACCAAGCATTAACTTGTCGAGATACAACCAAAACCAACATCATGCTGAGCACGGTAAGGTCAATTATTCAGATGAATCGGACAAACAATACTACATGCATCCTTTTCTGCGGTTAAGACTTGCCATGCAATCTGACAATATTGATATAAATCCAAGCAACATGAAAAAACTTGCATAACTCCCTACGTTTGGTTGCTTTTTTTTCTTTTTCTTTTTTTTTTTTTTTTTTGGGGGGGGGGGATGGTTATCCTTTTCCAACGTATTAAAAAAAAGAGATATGCATTGCTAGTTATATTCTTCTTGTCATTACTCCGTCTTTTATTATTATTATTATTATTATTTTTACTCCTATCATTTCTCACCTCCAAGATTTTTTTTCTCATTATATTTTTCTTTCAATTCCATTTCATTCTTTGTATATAGCATCCTAAAGAGCAAGAAACTATAAATCAAAATTTATGCAACAGCATCGCCTAATGACAGGCAAGAACTTCACTTTCTCATAAGTTGACTGTATAATAGGGTATATGACGGAATGCCAAAAGCTGGGACAACATACCTATCAGTTACCGCAGAGGAAGCTATCACAACAGCTTTAACATGAACGAATAGCTTCATAAACGCCGGTGTGTAATTGATTGTGAAAAGCTAATTTACATATCCGCTACTTTCATCAAAAGCACAAAAAAGAGATGGGGGGAGGATGCAATTAGACATGCCTCAATCGAACACAAATTTCATAAGAAATAATTCTTGTATACCTCTAAGCTAACAAAGTATTGGCGGGCTGGCAGCATACTGCTGTGGACTCTAATGTATAGATTTCCTGCTGTACATCCTATTTCCTTCTGCTTCCTGCTACTTATCAACAAAAAAGTAATTGAAAAAAAAAAATCCACCAGCAATCCCAGAAATTGTATATGACAACCTGCAAAGACCAATAAAAATAAATCAGAAAGAAATGGCTAAATTGTAAAGAAAATATGTATAAGCATTTTTCAAAGAACAAATGCATATTTATGGTATTCATAAGAAAAAAATAGCAGAAACGCTTACTTGCATGACTCTCTCCTACCTGTCTTCCTCCGAAGAGCGCTTTCACCACCAAAGAGAGTACAAATTTCACATAGAAGGATGATCAGCAAAACCCACAATTTCCTTTACCCATTGGTTAAAAATTTACAAATTTACAGCTTGAAAAATTATAACTCCTCCAGTATGTGAAACCACCAAAAGATGGCCAGTAATATCAAACTTCAAATTCAAAGTCTACTCACGTCCACTGATCAAATCTTTAACCAAAATGCATCAGCTTTGCTGACTTGTGTTTCCCAACATCTCCACAATATCTCAAGGTTAACCATAACTGTCATTCTTAAAGGCATAAAAAATGAATTGAATGCCCTGACTTCGTTGATTCAACAACTGTGGCAATCGAGCAAAGGCAACACTAGCTTTAAAAGTTGGCAAGAGTGGCTGGTGTTCAACATTATAAACACAGCCCTTCATATCACCATCCAGGTCATCTTTACCTCTGGGAATCCTATATGCAGGATCATGAAACATGCTCTTCCCAAGCAAGGACCATCTTTAAACTAATTGGACTTTTCAACGATTAATAGCTTCCATTGCAAGCCGAACTAAGCGTAGCAAACCCTCCACATCTTGGAAGTTAAAATCAAGAGCTTTCTTGATAGGGGAAGTACCCTCTGCATGCTTGACCTCACATGAACTTGAACTGGCAACTGCAAAAGCAATCCGTGATTTCCTTGAGGCTTCCATGGCAAAATTCACATCCTGAGCCTGCAATCATTAAAAATAAATTATACAACCGAAATAGACCAACTCAAGTAAGTGCTTAAGCTAGCATATAGTGGTGCATGACAGTTTCCAGTGTAAATGCTACTCCATGACACATGACAATCAGTGAATTGATAACATGGTGCCTTTTGCAGCCGCATAATCATAAAGAGAAGTACTGTCTTTCTCCACAATTTCAATTTTTTTAAAATTTGAAATTACATACATATTCTCCAACAGGATTCCTATTTAAGTTTCTGAGGATTTTCCCCTTTAAAGGCCTTCTTCTCTGTGTAAAAAAAAAAAAAAAAACTGTTCACTTACAAATTTAAGCAATCGCATTACTTTGGGGCGATTTTGGGCAGCAATAACATGGTTTCCAACAACCTGGGGAGGACTAACACCCTTTGACAAGGTTGTCTTGTCTGCTGCTGCAGAGTTGTTAGCATTGTCAACATCAGAAGCAGATGATGAGGGAGACTCGCCTGACAAAAATACAAGGTCAAAATTCATCACCACCACATTCTCACAAGTGATGGGAGACATGATCAAGAAAGAATGGTTGAGATGATAACAAGAGATAAAATAATTAACATTCATCAGCATCAATAAAATCAGATGTATCTACTTTTTCGTCTCATTGTTGCATTATATCACACAGCCGCAAAACTAGATAGAGATGTATCATAGTATAAGCAATTTGGCCATATTTCTAAGAAAGGAAGGTCCAAATGATCAATGATAGTTTATATGCCATTCCAATTATTCTACAAGACAGTCAAAATATTTACCAAGTATCATCACCTGAAGCTGAGACAAATACATGTTCAATTAGTAATTGGAAAAGAGATTGGTAGGTTGGCAAGTAAATTTTTGGTAACCAAGAAGGTTATGATTTTCATATGGAAGAAATTCTCCGTGTCAATCTAGGGAAGAAATTTCTGAGGTTACAAACCCAGAAAAACTACAAGCAATAAGTGAATTTATTGGGGAAAAGGGGGAAAAAAAACCTTCTGCTATGTCATAAATTTCATTACCAAGAGGAACGGGTTGCAAAGATGCCTGCAACTCACGTTGATCTCTGCTTGCGCTAGTGTGGGAGGAATATATTACCCTCATATATGCCACCTCCATGCATTTGTAAGCCAGAGCAGCAGCAGCCATGTCTTTCAACTTTTCAAATTCGTGGGCACAAAACCTACCAAATGAAGGTGTCAAGAAAAAAAAAATCCACAAAAAGATTCAAAACCCAACTATGAGCTTAAAATGTATAACAGAATCAACCAGGATAAGGTCATTTAAGGTTCACGTTTATGCAGATGCATCATCCCCAAATATGCTCACTTAAGAAAGGTTACAAGAACAGATTAAATAGAAAAGCCAGGGACCTAATATTCTAATTGCAAAGGAAAAGCAATAAAGAAATAAGTAACACAGATAGCAATAGGATAATAGTGAAAGACTATATGCATGGGTGAAGAGAAGACAACAGATATAAAGTTGGTAAGGATAATGGCGCAGCAACAGCAACAATAATTGATAATCTCAATGGCAGCCTGTATAACATTGGTCCTCCAATCTCTATTTAGATGAAACTACAGCAACACAAAGACATGACCATTTATTTTGGGTGAACTACTAGGAAACATCACATTAGCCTACAAGACAATACTCTTACACTCTCTATCACATCTGAACTCCATCACATTACTCCGTAGCTGAAATTCTGCCCAACCTTACAAACACAATATGCATCCAAGGTTTCAGATAAGAGCCCCAGAAAAATGAGTCCCGGATCTCATGTATAATATGTCAAATTAAGAAAATCTATGGAATAGCTAAAATTATTAACCATCAATAATCCAAATCTAGACACTTGTTAAGCTTTGAAAAATACATGATAAAATACACAACACGATGTCTTCATGTAGTGCCCAAAGTTTTTGCCAGCCCCTCTTAAAGAACAGTTAGGTGCTTTGCCTGTTTTTTGGCTCCAGAATCTCCAATTATATAAACTAATAATAGCATACCCAAAGTCTAAGGATGTGATAACAATTAGATGGAGTGGGAAGCATCCGCAGATGACTACACAATCATTTGTATGTGCATTTCACTCAGAGCAGCATGTTGCCCATATAAATAAAGTTATGCATGAAGCAGGAGGAAAAAATGTTAACATACTCGCACAATTTTGCCGTGCTACTATATATTTGCTTTGCTTGATTCATCTCACTGTATTTAGCATTATCATTGTTCCCAGATTCCAATAGAGAGGCTCCTTGAAGAAACTTGAGGGCTGCCTCAAAGTAAAGACCAGTGCTCTCAAGAGAGGATCCTGAATTCTGCAGTGAACCCCAAATTTCTTATTAAAACCAAGAAGATCGAAAGACTTATTGTAGAAGGTACTATATAAAAAAAGACCTTAAGACGATCAGCCAAATGCTTTAGATCTTTAGCTTCTTTCATAGCATTGTTAGCAGCATGACCGGAAGATTCCCTTCTGATTGGACTTGGGGCATCAAGCTCCTTGGACCTGTGTCCATTAAGCATGGAATGTCTTGAACTAATTGGCTGAGTTACATTTTGATTATCAGCCTTTCTGACTTGTTTTTTCTGCAGTGTCAAAGCATTATCAACTTTCCAAGGATCAACCACCATATCTCCATTTCCTTGGTGAGGACCACCAACTGGCTGGGGGCCATGACACAATGTCTCAGTTTGAGCCCCTCCAGAGGGTGGCAACGGGAGAGACTTCCCTTTACCAAGAACTTCTTGATCACTTCTTTCAGAAAGAGACTTCCTGGAAAACCTTTCTTCAGCACAATCTGGAAAATGATTCTGGCCAGAAGCAGACAGCTGTTCCGGTTCACAAATGGCATCTAGAGCAGTATCTTCAACAGCATGGCCTCTATTTAACTGATTGTCTTTTTGCCTGCTATCATTTCTGGCACAATCTTTCTTGCCAGCAATTATATTCTCACTTCTGTCAGATTTGAGTCCAAGCTTATCCTGCAGCTTAACTTTGCCATCCCCATGTTTTGCCTCAGATGAGGGAGGTTGATCTTGCATTTGAGAAAGACTAGTCTTCTTGACCTTTTCAGCAGTAGATTCTGATTTACAGCTCATGCTGTTGTCCTTCAAACGTGATGAAAACCCTTGACCAGTTTTCCTTGGATTAGACATATTATTAGTACAACAAACATCATTTCTGTCTTCACCTTGGCATTGATCCTTTATCTGATCCCCGCTGGAATATTTCCTGTATTGGTCTACAGTGTCCACTCCACCATTTGTGAAGTGACTAGATGTGATGTGAGGAGAGGGCAACATCTGAACTTTAGATTTTCCATCTAACACATGATTAACATCCTTCTGAAAATCAAGCATAGAAGGTCCACGGGAACCATGATGGACCACAATAAAAGCTTTGCCCTTCCTAATTGTCCCAGATCGATCACTCCCACCATCATCTTCACCATCTAAACATCTGATTGGACTACCTATGGCACCAGCATCATGAGAATTGTATTTCCCCATAAGTTCCCCACTTGTAAACTTCTCTGTATTTCGACTTCTCAAAGGTGAAGAAGAAACTGATTCCACTGGTGAACCTTTCACTTCCTGAAAGCTGGCTTTCGTTTTATGTGAGCCAGAAACCTTAGAAGAGCTGGAAGTGGCGGCAGCAGAAACTTGCACAGATCTCAAGTCCCTTTTCATGCTGTCCGCACCGTCCAAGCTCTGCTGTGACAAGGTATTCCCTGGATCTTTCCTGATTTTTTGATGTTTAGTCTGACTAGCTCTTTTGTCAGTCTTACCACTGCCTTTACTAATACTTGACTCTCTACCCTCTGACTTTGATAATCTTGCCTTCTTTTCTTTCCTGGAAAACTCATCCTGTGCAGAAATCTTGCTCTCCTGTTGGTGGTGGTGACCTGAATCCTGATACTCCTTCAATTTCCTTTTCCTTACACTATCAATGGTATCACGATTCCTCAAATCCAGAGACTCCTCATATAAAGAAAGACAGCCTTTATCTCTTGTTTTTTCGACAGAAACTTGCAACCTGTCCTTTCCATCATATTTTGAGTCTCCTAATGATGAGCGATCTTTATGCTTAGGCTGTTCCTTGCCAGCTGCAGTAGTCGGAGAACTGCTACTCAAGCTATGATGGAACTTCCTAGTAGCCCCACTTGGGTCAGGAATCCACTGCTGATCAGTAAAATGCATGTTATCAGTCTTGCCTTTTTTGGATTGTCTAAAATAATCTTGATCAGCATCCCTACAGCTTTTCGCCTTCAAATTCTTAGTATCACCTGTCAACAAATTTCAAGTAGTTAATAATATTACTCAGAGCAGTTTAGCAGGTCCTCCATCATCATTAATAAGATAACCAAAATGAATATCAAGTTAACTCACCTCTATCAGAATAGCTCTCTGGTTTCTTCTGCTTGGTTTTGTGCTTTTCCCCTCGGACATCAGGTTCACTAATTGCAGGAGATTTGTTCATATCACTTATGCTTCTACTTTTCATTGATGACTGAGAGTTTTTCTTTATAGAAGATGACAACTGAGATGAGCCATCTTTACTCGCCAAATTTGATATCTCTTTAACAGTTCTTTTCTTCCCACCAGGCATTGCATTTAAACCATGATTTAGTTGGTTTTGGTTGGGATACAGGACTGCTGATGAAGTTTCCCCCATCAAAACACTTCCAGAGATACTTTGACTTTCAGGCAGAGGAACTTGGAATAACGCAATGTGAGCTTTTGTAGTTTCATCTTGACTAACACTACAACTATTCATGCCAGGCCTGCACAATTTTGTACATATTGTCAGAGCTTTTAATTAGAAACACTTGGCCTAAACCTAGTACATTATGAATCTGATATAATCAGGATACCTAGTTGTCATTACACGTTTTGAAGCACCTGTTTGTTTAAACAAACAAAATTGACTTTTAGACAGTTTCGAAATTTTATGGAATGTCATTTATCACGTAAACAAATTATAAAAAGCAAAACTTATTTTGTGATTGGTTACCATCATAAAAAAAAGCTATTTAGTATTTAGTCATTTTCAGATGTTTCTGTTCACAAAAAATGATTTACCATCTAGTCATTTTCAAAATTCATGATATCACCGTGTACCTTGGTATTTTTAAGTGCATTATCTCTCATTTACAACATCTGATTATTTTCATAATTTATCCAAAGTAACTTCTCAAAATTAAAAAAAAATGCTTTTTTTCAATTCTGATTATTTTTAAAAGATTCGAGCCCACTTGTTTAAAGCTTAAAAAATAAGTCATTTTTAGATAGTCTAATATAAAAAGTGATTTATTTTGTAGAGATTTTATAAAAAGCAGAAATTATTTTATGAATTGGTTACAATAATAAAAAGTGATTATTATTTAGTAATTTTCAGATTTTATATCTTCATGGATCTCTGCTCATAAAAATTGATTTGGTATTTAGTTATTTTAAAATTTTATGATATCTTTGTGTATATCCATATTTTCATGATATTCTCAATCATCTACCATATCAAATTATTTTCGCAAACTACTCAAAATAGTTTTTCAAAACAACCAAAAATCTGCTTATTTTTGTATTTTGATTATTTTTAAAAGCTTAAACAAACATCATAAACTTTCACCAAATAGATTTTCTTCAAAAAAATGTGATTTTTCATTATATAAGATTAAACAAACAGGCCCTTGAACAAACATTGGAATTTTTCTCAAAAATGATTTTTTCCCAATAAATAAGCAATTTTTTCAAGAAAAAGGCTTAAGCAAGCGGGCCCTAGGTAAAATAGCTACTTCAATATTTTTGCTATGGACAGATCTATCAAATAATAGTCAATGGAATAGAGCTTACAGCCAGTTAAGCATACTACACAGCCACTTTTCAGGAAGGCTTTTAGGATTTGTGCCAGGAGGGAGAATACGCCATTTCTGACACTTATCACATTGTACCCAAAATTCTTCTATGACAGCAGGAGGCACAGTTACAGGAGCCCCATCTCCATTGGTTGACTCAGTAGCATGCATGTTTCCAGAGCACCGGACTAAATTTGTGGCTGTTGTAGGATATGCTTCAGATACTAATGGCTTGTCAAATTTCTTACCACCTGATCTCTCTCTTACTGCAGAATTAATCATGGCTGTACTCCTCTTAACCACTTCAGAGTCCTTCAGCTTATCTTCATGAAGAGTTTCCAGTGAATCCATTCTGTCCTCATCATCTTCCAAGTCCCCAAAGAAATCTCTATATGTGTCTTTATCCTTCCCATGATCTTTCTGTAATCTGGCATCTTCTATCTCATTTTTAGACATCAAAATATCGTCAATCCTATTCTTAGTCTTTGACATTAAAGTACCAGCCCTTGAGGCTTCTTTATTGCTCTCTGTAGCCATAGTCTGATTACTTCCCTTTAATTTTTTCTTTCCCCCAGGAAATGAATGTTCTGTAACATGTAATGCTGTGCTATCATGTTCACACAAATCACCTTTTTGAAAAGTTTTCTTTGGCAACTCTACATGTTCAATGCTTAAATCTGCTCTACCTCTGTCAACATTAGATTCAGCTGTTATTGAGTGAGGTATTTCATCTCCATGAAAATTGTCTTTCACTGTATGAAGTGGTGCGTTATCAAGAAATTTACCAACTTTATCTCCTGCAACTTTCCTTCCGGAACCACCCTTCATCTTTGATACAAAACCATTCACTTCAACAGATGTTGGATCCACTCGTTCCATTTGCACTTGTTCAGTACAAAAGGCTTTCTCCAGCACCATATCCTTGTTGGATTCCTTCAATGTATCAAAAGGCCCACCCACATCTTTTAATGACTCATCACTGGAAGAATATGAACTGGATAAAAGTGGAAGCTTCAGGGTTTCTGAAACCAGCTCCTCAGCAGTCAATGAATCAATAACTTGCTCCTTCGTTGATAAAATTCCAACATCATTTCTTGCACTTTCATGAGTGCCACCCTTAACTTCTATCAAGGACCCATATCCATCCACATATTTCATTTTCTTCCCCCCTATTTTTTTGCTGTCACCCTTTATGGTATTAGAATCAAGTTGCAACTTGAATGAACTTTCTGGGCCATCCATATAGATAGGAACAGGTATGCTATCTTTGGCACATGTTTCTTCTCCAGCCAATTGAAGAAGATCATCAGACAGAGGAGACAATGGCATAGGAAGAGATGACATAATCTGTACCAAGAGACCACTGTAAACACTTAATCTCTTCAAGGACAATGTGAATAGAAATTTAAATTGTAAGTAGATAATTCACCTGAAGAATACTAGCTGGGGATTCAAATGGAACATCATGGGGCCCACGAGAAATTTCTTCACTTTCTGAGGAGCTATCATCCAATGATGATGGTGACACATCAAGACCAAGTCCACTATAGATTGCAGCATTTTTCCGGGTCGACAAACTATCAGTGCCCATTTTAATTCGAACCTTCAGTGTCTTCTGGTCTGATATGCTCAAAGATTTTCTATTTGCAGATTCGTAATTAGAAGTGAATGCCTCAGCACAAGTAGACGTCATGCATTTTTCTTGGTTGATTCCTCCATCAGTGGAGAGTGCCTTAGCAGCAAGTGGCCTAGAAGAATTAACAGAATTTGGCCCAGGTCTCAATGACAGGGTTGCCATTGAATAATCGACAGAATCTCCTTGCCCACCCTGTTTACAATACAGTATGAGAAGTTGAAGTCAAACCTAAATGGGATATCATGCTATGCCAAGTCATGAAAATCTCATACAATCATCAGTTTAATTATGAAATGGACTGCATAATAGCATGCCTAGAAAGAATATACCTCTAATCGCAAATTGTTGGGAGATTTTGGCATAGTTTGACCATGAACTTTTGGTGGAGTCCTTGGATGAGACCAAGCAGGAGAGCGCTGATAGGCAGGTAAGAATGAGCCATAACCACCAAATTTAGCCCCTGTACAATGAATAGTTTCCCAATACATTAGGGTGGAGTTTCTTGATCATGTAAATTTACACTCAGATAAATTATGATTCAGCTGACTTACAACTTACCTAGATTCGCTGCTGAAACTCCACCTTCAAAATCTTTTTGGAAGTGTCCCAGGACAACTTGAATTTTTTCATCCTAAGAAAAACAAAATACCAGAAGTTCAATGTTTAAAAGAAGAACCACTAATTCCCAGAGGAGATGAAATCTAAAATGACAAATCTCAAATAGACGCAGATTAATTATGGCAGAAATATAAACATTGTTCCCTTGCTGGAAAACGTAGGCTAGGATGTATCATAAAGCTGCACAATTAGCAAGATATGATATGCATTTCATGCTGTCTTATAATTAATCAGGAGAATAGGAGCAGCACAACTCTAATATATTGGGGTGCAAAGCAGGCATTTGCATGGATACCATTCTGAGAAGAAACTTGCATTCCAGAGTTATAGACAGTAATTAAAAATCCGGGAGAAATTATTCCTACGTACAAAATTACATTCAGATTTCAGGCTGAGCCTGATTCGAAATCACCATCTGTTTGAGAAGTGGATTAACAGGAACTCTCTCCGTCCTCCTAATGCTTCAAGTTGTGATAGAAAAGGCCACTAAGTCTGCAATTTTCTAAAACATCCCTTGTGTAAAACATCGTAAAATCTACATCCTTTTTCCGAGTAAGAAATTTAGCTCCTCGCATCTCCAAATGACAAAATTCATACCATATACGGAAACAAGATGTTCAATTGGATCTAAGGCAGTTAGACAAGTAGAAACCAAAATTAACTGATAAAAAATAATAATAATAATAACAACATAAAGCCCTTACAATGTAAGAGAGGGCAACGTCAGGATCGATGCTGGCATCAAAATCTTCGTTGTTTTGATAGGAGCATGCCTCGCCTTCCTCAAGCTCGGACTCTTCCATATCTGCCCTACCACCACCAGCACCACCAAGGCTTAACCCTAACCCCTTCCTCGCATCACTACTTCCCACAGAAATCATCCAAACAAACACCAGAATATAATAAAAGTTGACAACTTCCCACCGTCAAAATCCCGGTTTCTATTCGACCAAATTCGTGGGGTCTAAAAACTACCGCTGTTCGTGCCCTAGATTACTGGCAATCAAAACGATTGCGTAGAAATCACAAACGCAATTTTGTATAACTAAAATCGATGAAAACTCCCCTCTTGTTCAAGAAAACCTCAAACGCTCTGAATCTGGAACCTTACTTCGGCGTCAGCCCCGTTGTTTTAGAGCTGCGATTGATGAACAGAGTTTCCCCGTCCCTACCTCTCCCCCTCGCTCCCTCCACCCCTCTCTCTCTCTCTGATTTTTGGCGAATACAGCAGCCGCGTTTTTGTCCCTTTGTTTTTTTGGTTGAATAGTAGTAATATTTTTTGTTAAATATAATTTTAATCTAAGAGAAGAGAGAGACCGGCGCAAGAAGACTAGTTGGGTTGACAAGGGAAAGTGAAAGAAAAACAAGCCGCTTTGCCCTTCACGGATCTCTTACATGAACTTTCCCCTACAGATCCCTGCCTCCAGGATCAGATCTAACCATACTTGGACCTGTTAACGAAGCGCGTGGCTATAACATTTTTTAGAGAGAATCCCCAATTAAATTTTTAAATTTTAACTTAATAGATCTGACGGTATAAGGAGGCTCTATTTTTACGTAGTTAAATCAGATTTCAGGCCCAAACAAATATCTCATTGGCTTACAGTTATCTTGTTTTTTTATTGACGAATTATTGGGGATTGCATGAAATTAACATTATTAATTTTACAGAAAAGCCTGTATTTTATAATGGATAAAATCAATCAATCAATTATTAATTAATTTATATATTCAAATGTTATCGGAGAATACTCAATGGCCAATTACTTTAGTATCACGTCCTTATTTTTTGCCCTTCATTTAAATTTAATCTTTAATTTCTATAACTATAACAAAGACTAATTATTTTTTAAAACATTTGTTATTAATACTGCTTCACTCACTGTAGGGATTCATTTTTTTAAGGCTAAAATATATAAAACCTCCCTAAATTTTAAAACAATTACATATAATCCCTTCACCTTTAAAAGTTTAAAATAGCTTCTCTAACTTTTAATTTTGTTTTTCAAAATCCTCCATTGTTAATTATGTTAATTTTTTATGAGAATTAAAATGTTATTTATCTAAAAAAATATTATTAAATAAAAATATTATATTGTATAACTATTTATAATAAATTTTTTATATTTTTTAAATAATTGAGACATTGATAATAGCTAAAAGAAATATTATTATCACCATATAAAATTTTAAATATTTACTTTTATGTTAGTTTTTTGTATTTTTTTATTAGCAATGGTGTCTAGTTTTCTAGTATTAAAAGAAAAAATTAATCTAACAAGATAATATTTAAAATTTTAAATATTTTACCTATGTGTATTACATTAATCTAACATGAAAATATAAATAAAAATTTATTTTTTAAAATAATAAAATTATGCACCATTAATAACAAAAAAATGAATAAAACTAACATAAACATAAATATTTAAAAGTTTATGCAGTGATAATAACATTTTTTTTTGTTATCAATGCCTCAACTATTTAAAAAATATAAAAAACTTATTATAAATAGTTATATAATATAATATTTTTGTTTAATAATATTTTTTAGTTGAATAATATTTTAATTCTCATAAAAAATAACATAATTAATAATAGAGAGTTTTGAAAAACAAAATTAAAGGTTAGAGAGGCTATTTTAAAATTTTAAAAGTGAAAGGGTTATATGCAACTGTTTTAAAGTTTAGAAGAGTTTTATATATTTTAGCCTTTTTTTAATGACATTTTTGTAAAGGTATGTTGATTATTTAAATTAGGGTTAAAAAAGTTTTTAATTAATTGGTTATTCAAATATAATTTGATTTTTTTGCAATTTCAACTTTCAATGCATGTCATTCCTATTTTATTCTTATTTCTATAGAATAATTATCTGTCGTGTTATATCATATAATCATATAAGTCATATTATAATCTAGTAATAATTTAAATAACTATTCATTCAATTTAAACTTTAAAACATAAATTAGTTAGGTTTAGGTAGATTATGACATTTAATATATGTGATTATGAAGATTGATATGAATATGAATTTGAAAAGCTCTTACAATTATAAAATTTTAAATTACAAGTTTATGCATTAATTTATTGATTTATTAACAAATTAATGGAATAATAAATAATATATTGAAGTGCAGTTGTTTATATGGCAGGTGAATAAAATATAACAACCAATTTAAATGTGGCGGGCTTTGCATTGGGAGAGCAAGTTCATTTAAAAATTAAAAATAACAATTTGAAATAAAAAAATTATTTTTATATATATTAAATGTCTAGATGCTCACACAACAAGGTCTAGAATTTAGACTAGTCTAGGAGAATTGCGATAGCCCCACTTCATACCAAGCGGTGAAATAAAAAATTATTAAATTATGAATTAGATAGTTTAAAATTTTAAATTTAGAATCTACATTAGGAGTGAGACTCAAGTGAGTTTAAGAAAATAAAGTGTAAAATATAAAGCGGAAGAGTGAAAAACAAATTTATACTTTCTATTTGTAATTTTTCTCAATTAAGGGTTGCATATACCCCTTATGTGTACGTGCCTTTGGAGCCAAAAAATATATTTCAAAAAAAATGAAGTTGGGTTTTGGTTACCCAGTTAAGTATGTTTTTATTTAATTCTCAAAAATTGAGTTATTTTAAATTTTTAAATTAAATTTAAATTTTAAAATGTATGCTTGTACTTTAAAATTATAATTTATATTATCTATTTTTAATTTTTAACCTTATATTTTAGAGAATTGTTATAATATAAAATTTAAATTTTAAACAATTAAAAAGGCAAAAAAAAAGGCTCGCACATATTGTTATTGGCCTCAATCAATAATAGTCAAACTTAAAAAAGTTATCACTTTTAGGGTGACAAGGTTTTTAAACCATGAGCTTGTAAGGATCGGGTTTATATGAATTAGGTCTATCTATTTTTTTTTAACTCCATGGCCCTTTTTGGTGTGAAGGATTGGAATCAGAATTAATTAATCCTATCTTTTTAATGTTTGATGCGGAGGAATGAGCTTTTCAATCTTAATGCCAATCTTATTTTATATAAAATTATTCAATATTACCACCCCTCTTGGTATCACAAAATTATTCTTGAGATTAATTTTTTAAAAACCAAAATGCCCTTCCAATCTCTTCACCTCCTTCCCTTCCTCTCAAGATGAATCCAGCACTTTTATGTAGAGCCCATGTCTCAACCAAAGGTTCTTCTCGTCCAGATCAGCAGGAACGATGCTTTTGACTTGTAGAAGTGAGCTTTAATGTTCACCCATGGGTTTAACTTCAATGCTTAGCCCATTGATGAGCTCTAGAAGATGTGACGCAAATCATCTCCCTATCTTCACTTCTTCATTTTGTTGGAAGTCATTCATGTCGCCATCTCTATCACAAGTCATCTCCCTCCTTCCAAAACGTGTCTTTGTCATTTCTGCATCTCCTTCCATCTCTCTCCATTAGCCTCCCATTAGTTCAAGTTTGAATATGCTCGCCTTCTCCCTTTATCTACCTCCCTCCAAATCACATCTGTTTTGAGATTGTTGATGATGTCCAAATCTAGTTCACGAGTTTGATGACATTTCAAATCTAGTTTTGAGATTGTGTTTGATTCACCTTATAGTTTGAGTCTAAGATATGATTCTTTAAATTTAGTTCATGGGATTTACCAAATTGGGTTTGAGGCTTTGATTTTTTTGGTTAATAATAAAAGCTATAATAGCCTTTTAATAATTTTTGATTGATTATGAAGTAAAATTATTGCAAATATTTCATTAAAATATTATTTCATACCAAACATACTTTTAAAGCATCAATTTTAACTTGAATTTTAATATCAATCTCAATTCCAATATCAATCTTAATCCATTAAAATTCATATCTTCATACCAATTAGGCCTATACAATTACTACCAACTGTTATGTATGTGCAAACTTAGTTAAAGAGGTTTATTCTTTTTTTTTTTTCAAGTAAGAAAATAATTTCTGTTGTAGTCTACCTTTTATCTTTTATGCTAGTAAAAAAATAAAATATACTTAAAAATAAGTTATAATATAGTTTGTGTCTTTTTATATGATTTTTATTTTTAATCACATGCACAAAATTAGATTGAAGCATTCCTTTTACTCCTGCAATGATATTTTTTTTGGGACGCAACCCCTTTAATCTTTGCCTGTAAAACATCATACGGTGTTCAAAAATAGCCTCCAAATTTTACAGTCAACGTTTTTGAATATGTCTTGAGCGCGTGCTCCACCAACGGCATTAATTGCGCTTAGAAGAATATTAGTCCAGTTATGGTTCATCCTAAATTCCAAATCTTGGCCCGGCAATTATCCCTTTTGTTTTTTAGCAAGAGGAATAGATATTAATGTCATGAGTTGATAAACGGGATCAAACGTGAAACCTTTTATTTAGAAGAGAGCTTGTTTGGAGTATATCACTAAATTACAAGACTATTTACAGTAATTATCACCTTTTTGAGTCTTTCATGACCTTATTTTGGGTTTATTCATTGGATGAACCCAACTTTTTCATTCCCCTAGTTTTTATTATTGATAGCATTAAACCCCTGCCAGACAAATATATATTTTTAAAAGAAGATTTGAAATGCAAGTAATTTATAAACATATAGATATAATGAATTTTTAATGAAAAATTGAGAGAATATTATTATGTGGAACATTTTTTTTTCACTAGCATGTGGCACATAATCTTGGAGATTGATACAGTTAAAAAATTCCATACAAAATAGTAAAATATCACAATAAAAAATATAATCGATTAAGATATGATATATGGTGGCTTCCAATTATATATACGGATGGTTAAAAAGGTCGACAGTGATGATGAAATAAAAAAAAAAAATACCACGATAGTTAAATGTTAACTAATTGGCTACTCTAGAGTCCTTATACATGTACAGTGAATTTATGGATCAAATTTTACAATCTCACGTTTTTTTTTTTTTTGGATCATACAATCTCTCGCTTCATAGTATACTGCAAGTGTGAATGTATGTTTGCAGGGTACGAGGATGCATATTTTCATTTGACTATTATTGTCCCAACAAAGTCACTACTAATGGGCATGATAAATGTGTAGATTGTTATTGAAACCTACACAATTATCATTATTTGATAAGAAATCTCGCCTTTTTACTAAAAACAAACAGAAGAAGAAGAAGAGAAACATTTACATAATAAGTATGTAAAATTTGTTCAAGTTAAAATGGTTTATTATTTGAGTTAAATTTTATTAGTTTTTTTTAAATATTAAATGTTTGAGTTAGAGAGTTCCTCCAACTCCTTGGTTCCAAATAGCCTCCCAGGTCCCAGCAACATCCTTCGCATGAAAAATAACGAATAAAGAAGATTTTAAGGTTAAATGAAGACATGTCAACAACAAAAATACATTAACCCTTTCAAAGTAGTTGAGAACACAAAATTAATTTAACGTGCATGATCGGTTGATCTATATAGAATCAGATTCTAATATACCCCAACCTTTAAAATTTCATGGACCTTCCTTTCTTACAAACTCTCATCAAAATGCCTGAAGAATTATTTCCAAACAATTACAAAAATCTGATCGTCCTCGAGAGAGAAAGTAAAGCTATAAAATAAAAAATAAGACAATAAAATTTGACATCACTGTAGTGAATACCAACAAAAAATTTATATCAGCCTTGTTGAGCTTCACATGAATATATTCCAGATACGAATAACCTCATCTTTAATGCGAATGCCATAGAGAAACGCAATGTTAGTGCATAATTATTGTTATTAGTTTCTAAAATTCAAAGCAAGTGATATCTGTATACGAGAAGGACCCTAAAAATAATGACATGTTAATTCATACAATACACTCACAAGATTCAATACGAGATAAAAGGTAGATAAATAAATTTGTATTGTGTGTACACATATACACACGTTTATTTATATGTGATGTTTTGGTTTGATGTTACGTTGGAGAAATTTTTGAATTTAGACTATCCGCAAAATGAAATTCGAATTAAACCCTCGACAAAATAACTATGCGATATACAGAGGATCATCATCTGAAAAAAATAACCGTATGATTAACAACAGAAATATAGAGGATTATTAATATTTAGTTTTTTTTTTGGATTGAAAAATTTGAAACCTGAACAATCTATTTGTGCAGTTAAAAACTATTCAATTATCCAATTGAATACATAAATTAATAAAAAACCTTTAACTATTTATTTATTCAATAAAAAATAAAATTCTACTATATCCAAATTTAAATGAGACTGATATATAGATCATCAAGGAATAAGACTGACAATAATTTAGACCATAATATTCAAAAATATGTGTCGATTTTAAATCCTGGTTGAAGAATATTTAAATTTTTTAAGATAATTAGACGTGACAAATAAATTTTGGAAAACAAAAATAGATTACTAACTTTAATAGGCTCATCACCAATCTGAATAAATTAAAATTCGTAATTTTAAAAAAATATTCTTACCATAATCAACATTCAAAAATTGTTAGATTTATCCTTCAACTATATATATATATATATATTAAAAAACTAACTTAAAAAATAGAAAATTTATACTTAGATTTTTCAAGATAACTTTAAAATAAATAGATTTTTAATTAAAACAATAATTAGTTATCATCATTAAATTTATCTAAAATCAATTATTAAACCTGACTTTTAAAGATAAAGAAACTCGGAAACACAGAACTGCAAAAAACACTCCAAGTCAAACCATACTTTTATATGATAGAATGATTGATGAACGCATATTATGCTTGCCATCAAGGAGACTAGTTTCAATACACAGATTATATGCTTTGCCATCAGTCGGCGAAATGCTTGGTCCATCTGCTAATTAATTATTTTTTTTAAATGATAGATAACTAGAAGGGAAATTTCGCCTTATGACCTAACCTAAGGGAAGACTCATTCTGCATCAAAATGTGTGGAAAAAACACACACACTACGTGATGACTTTTTTTCAAAAAAAAAAAATAATGTCATCAACTGCTAGCAGTCTAATACGTTGACCTTAAAATTGATGCTATGCAACATTTATCTCGAGGAGCGTATTACTTGGACGTGTCTTGGACACTTGGACCACCGATGGTTGTAACAACTCTCGGTAGCGAATTGGACAATTGGTGCATTTTTAAAATAAAAATAATATATTTAAACTTTAAAGCAAAGAGTTGCAAGGTATTAAGTTGGATTGAGTACTTATCTTTCATCATATTTACCTTATATTTAGGTTGGACTGAGTTGCCAGGTATCAAGTTGCCAGATATTTTTTTTTAATTCATAATACAGCTGTTTTAAAACTTTGATGTCTTATTAACAAATAAAAAAATTACCTGATAATTTAAAATGTAAAAAATATTTCAGCAAGAATTAGAGTTAAACTCATTTAACTTGTAATTCAAACAACAAGGAAAAAGAACACGCTTTGCATTTGGATCCCTTTGGATCCGGGATCCCCTTTGCTGTCCACCTTGTAAACCAAACAATATTGTGATTGGAAAGTTTCTGTCAAAAGAACTTGAAAAAAATAAAAAAAGTTAAACAACGTCACCCTTTACGTTATCAAAACAAAACAATTCAAAAATGTCCGTCCATATAAATAGAATTTTGAAGGTCTCCCTCAAATCCGAAAAGGATTATCCCCACTTCCCAATATTTTCACAGAATTACAATGTCCTGCACACTTGTAACATGTTAGATGTAAAACAATGTTTCATTTCATGTCATGAACTTTTTTTTTTTTTTTAATCATGTCATGAACTTTGAAAGCAACCACAGGAAAATACAAACAAAATGGTAAATGAGCCCGAAGCCGAAAGTAGTGGTTGAAGTACTGTATCAACAAACGGACAAAATTTTTGGCCCCAAAAAAAAAAAAAACAAAGGACAAAACAAGAAAAAGTGAGAATTGAAAGGGAAAAGAAAGGATAGATGTATCCACTGGTTGACCAATAAGAAAACGGCATAGGCGACCAATTTTCATCCACTTGACTGGAAAATTCATGCTTGGGGTCCCTTGAAAGGGAGGGAAACCATATCCACCAAATGAATATTTAACAATTTACCTAAAAGCAGTGGAATATGCATTACTCTTCCAAAACTAATGGACCAGAATATGCTTCAGGAGTTGCGCTTCAAACCTTCAAATGAAGTAAGAAGGAAGGGTGACGCACTGAAGAAGATTGGAATCACCCACGTGACGCCCACCCCAGGGATATTGTCAAGGTATGTTGAAGATATGTGCAAGACAAGACAGGAATATTCCTTTTTGTGGGAACACATGACCGATGCCAAAATAGCAACATGAATAATTACATTTTATTTTTTATTTTTTCATTCAAAATTGATCATTCATATTTATTATGGTTATTGTCTTGGTTTTGCAGGAAAACGAATCATACAAGAGTAAGATGGATTATTTTGACGTCCCTTCAAACTGATCTCTCAGTTGCTCGTACTTTTTAAGCTCAGCCATAGACAGAGAAGGAGTCAGCTCCACCAAGACCTGAAAATCAGAAAATGGCAGTCAAACAAACAACGGAATGATATAGAACCAATAGAGAAAGCAAATTTGGCAATGGCTTGGTGCTAAAATCAAACGTTTTTAAATTTTTACATGTCCCTATTACCAACATGTATGAAAGGCACTGGAGAGTGTATCCTGTTAGTAACTGTACATCTCCAGAGAATGTCAAAATTCAAACTGTCAACCATCTTCAGGAATTTGACTTACTCTTATTAAGATATTAATAAAGTTCCCTACACCTGGGGCTAATGGGAATGTTGTAGGATGGGGTTGATACATACATATACGTATAGAAAATATGTTGAATCATATTAAACTGGGTGAGTGATGCAGGCCATTTTTACACTAAATTTGATTGATTAAAGACATTTCAAGCACGTAAAATAAAAGATATAGTGCCGATAAACTTTTACGCATGATATTGTTGCCAATTAAGGGCCCAAAACCAAGTAATTTTACGATCTCCGCTGGGGGCACCAGAATTAAAGCCAACAATAGCAAGTTACCTGGACAAAATCATCGTATTCAACAACAACAGAATCTGCTTCGTCATCCTTACAGGAAGATTCTGGATCTGCACTTAAAACCTAGAAGGTGGTGTCAGGATTAGCAACTCCTAAAGCACAGACTAAATAATTCAACATCAAAAGAACATTTAGGTCTCTAAATACGTCCCCTGCTTGCTAGGGTAAATAGACAACTCAATATTTTCCTATAAAATTGACAGTCCCATCATCTCCACTACCATAACAGGCCTAATGTCAAAATGCAAATAAAGCAAGTAGGAGACATTGTCATCCAGGCCAAACTTACCTTGCGTTTTGCAGCCTGAAACCATGCATCTGCACACAAGGCGTACATGTCTGCACCAGTAAAGTTTGGCGGACACTTTTTAGCTATTGAGTAAAGTGACACATCTTCTGACAATTTAAACTTTCGGGTAAGTGCTTTAAGAACCCTGGGAAAGAAGAATAATTGAGGTGAACAAGGCCGTGTCACATACAACAAATACATCAAAACATAGAGGAGGAGGAGAAAAACTTACCGCTCTCTATAAGATGCATCAGAATTAACTCCAACATACAGCAGTTTATCAAATCTGCCAGGGCGTAAAAGTGCAGGGTCTATCAAGTCTGGCCTGTTACTTGCACCTATAATAAAGAGATCCTAAAGGAAGCAAAAGAGATTCCACATGTCAGAAGCAGAGTAGGGAATAAAATATTTTATAATGTTTTTTCAAGCCATAAAAAACCTGTGCAGAATCATTCAGGCCATCAATCTCTGCCAGCATCTGATGAAAAAGGAAAATTTACCACATTAGGAAACCCAAAGAATTTACAAACACCATGGTCCCCCTCAGAAAAATAAAATCACCTGAGAAACCACTCTGTCCATAACACCCCCAGAATCCCCAGAAGCACCTCGAGCAGGAGCAAGAGAATCAAGCTCATCAAAGAAGATAACACATGGTCGTGATGATCTGGCCTGCAATGTGCATAATATTGATGTTCACTAAAGCAAAATCTGATAATGAAAATTGTCCCCCCCTATTCTTAAATTTCTTTTAACTTCAGAACTACTAAGAAAGTACAATACCTTCTGGAAAATGTCTCGCACATTCTTCTCAGACTCTCCAATGTACATGTTAATCAGTTCAGGCCCTTTCACACTAAGAAAATTTAAGGAACATTCGGTAGCAACAGCTTTGGCTAATAATGTCTACAATCCAAAGAAAGAGCAAGAAAATTAGGAGACGAACTTCAGTCAGAAGTACTATAGAAGGTAGAAAGGTGAAGTAGGAACTGTTGACACTCTGCAACTTACTTTGCCAGTTCCAGGAGGACCATACAGAAGAACACCAGACCGCTTACGTAATCCAGATGAAAACAGATCCTTATGCAGGAGAGGCAACTGAAATGTGAAGCATAAAATGAAATATTTAGAAATAATGGCCTGTCAAAGTGTCAACAACTTTTCCAAGCTTTTATCTATATGTGACAAAAACTTTAACAAATCTTCGTAAGTTATTAATAGGTGACTTATTTCACAAACTTTCTTTGCCCAATGCACGAGAATCACATTAGTTTAAAATATGAAGTCTAACAACCTGCATTATTCACTAGCCATGAACATACATGACTTCTCTCTATAATTTACTATTCACAAGCCACATGAGCAATGCAGTTTGCATTGTTCTTTGTACTTCTCTTTATTCCATTATTACTATTAGCATTATTCTTTTTCAATTTCTCTAAATTCTCAACCCGAAAATTAAACAGTAGCAGGATCTAAATATTTCAACAATTTCATATCAAATCTGAATTAGTTGGACAAATACATCAGGAAAGATGGCATCCTAAGTCCTAACAGGAAATATATCTGAAATCTCTATCTGGCGTCTCTTGATTATGAACTTCAGTTACAAGGCTGGAAGTCTAACGCCAAATCAGACAAATTAAATATCCGGTAGAGATTTAACAGAGCTGTAAAAAAATTACAAGAAATATGTGACTATTAAAACAGTTATGCTGGACAAGAGGCCAACCTGAACAGTATCCAGGATTGATTTTTTTACATCTTCAAGCCCACCAACATCTTCCCATTTCACATCAGGAACCTGAGAAAAAAATTCAATGTCAAATTTCCTGCATTGAGGAATATATTCTCCAAAAGATTACATTGCTCATTATTTGTAGCAAGAACAGAGGTATCTCCGGTCTGAGCTTTTAGCACTGCTCAGTGCCCAATGCAGATGAGAAAATAATCATGGAAAGCTGGTTCACTTAATGTACCTTTGGAGCACCCAATGCAACTGCATTTCTTTTCTTTGATCGATCCAAAGCTTTTGCCAAGTGTTCTTTGCCATGAACCTCTGGCGCAACTTTCCGGTGGTTGCTCTCCGGCATCACTTCAGAACTAAAAGAACCATCAATATCCTTAGGCCTGGCTTTGTCTACAGCTTCGGAACTCCTGGGAAATAGGTTGGCACCAACATCAGCAATCAAAGCACACATGTCCCGGGGCATAAAACCAGATGTCTGCCCAACTATTTCTTTTACAAAACTGTCAGCATCAGTCTGCAAGAAGCAATGATCTGATTACTCATAATCAACAGTAATGATCAAAGTAGACCAAACCATTATCAAGTCCCTATCTTTTGACTCGAAAAGGGGGCTATTCTGAGAATAATCAATGTCTAAAAAATATTAAACCACAGAAGCAAGATGCAGCTCCATTTTTTACTTACATTAGAGAGGAATTCAGAGACACTTTGCAGTGACTGGGATAGCATTTCAGCCCTTTGCTCTTCAGTCAAAGGCCCCATTTTTATTTCATGGCTGAAGCAGCGTCTGATAGTTGAAGGCAGACCTTCTGAACTAACAGCAGCTGCAATCAACAGGATCTGATGCCCACTTGTCTTTTCAGCACTCTTCTCAACCTTCACCAGGATGTTGTGAAAGTTAAGATCCACAAAACTATATTTGTTTAAAGAATCACAATTCAGTTACTCTTTCGATTCTTGATTCGGAATCATTCCTTGACTGGCCCATTGGAAAATGACGTGTAGGGATTTATATATGTACTTCAAAATTGTATTTCCTAGACCTTAAAAGATGTTATATAAGGAGGACACATTTTGCAGCACATTGGGGAAGAATATATAGACAAAATTATGGACTACAAGACAATGGATAGCAGCAGTGAAACTCAAGTTAGATCTTACAAATTCACCATTTGGTTTCTCATGGGAGTATATGCCACCATCTTTAGGAGTTGGCTCAGTGAATTTCCTAATAATTGATGCAATTTCAAATGTATTTCCTCTTTGATCATTTACTGGACCCTCATTAGCTTGCATGTCTCGAAAAACTTCAAAATGACGCAGAAGAAGTATAGTTGGTGAGTATCTGTAAAAATACCATACACTAAGTGCAGGAATCAAAATTTACAGATAAGACAAAACTCAATGAACTGAGTTTCTCAAATCCAGACAAAACCTAATTATTTAGTTCATGGCTCAAGCAAGGCCAGAAATCTCACAAATATTATGTCAGAGAAAGGATTCTGTGTCTGTATGTGTGTGGATTTATAACAAGACATGTACTTGTGATCATGAAAAGAACATCCAGTTAACAGAAGATGGTAAAGTATAAGTTTCTCTTGACAAAAAACATAAGAAATGCTTGGGAATATAACTTCCAAAAGAATTTGCATCTGTATTATTTGTAATGTTTGAAATATAAGAACCTTCGAGCTGTCTTGAAAGCTTGAACTAGCGCAGCAGATGTGTTCCTCTCTGACAATGTTAAATCATGACAGTTATATTCCACCACATGCAGGCCCAATCGATGAGCAACATATCTAACAACAGTCCGCTTCCCACAACCTGTATTATCATGCAATCAGGGATCAGGAAATGCAAAATGCACTGCCAATGCAATTCAGAATAACAATTCAAGTGATATTTTCTACAGAAACCACTCAATATATTATCAATAAATAAATTAACAACTAAATTAATCAAATGCCGATCCCATAACTTGCATAATGATGTGATCAGGAACCAATGCAATTCAAAACAACCATTTCTGCAATGCCTTCTTATGAAAACCATCAATATAATAACATATCATCAATAAAAAAGTTAGCAACTGAAAATATCACATGCCAATCCTGATCACAAATCTTTTTACAGGACATGGAACTGGTATTTAAAGGATGAGAATCAGTTACCGATTTTTGCAAAATACAAAGTCTAGAACGCACCTTCCAATCCATACAATAGAACTGAAACTCTGAATTTTAAAGAAAGTGCTGATGGACAGCAAGCTGGTGTAAGCACTGAAGCCAAAATTTTTACTGCGTCCTGTTGTAAAGGCACAGGCTCTTCTGGTCCAGCAATTAACAAATCTGGTGGAAGAGCAGAAGAGAAGCTCCCTCCAAGCACCAAAGCTGTTGACGATCGATTGACACGAAGAATTGGTTCATCTGATGGTTCCATAGCAATGACCTGAAGGTATAAGTTACATTCTAACAGTAACCTGGGATATACAGGGGTAGGTCTTGAGCATTTATAGGGAAGAAATAAATAGATTTACCTTGAAAAAGATGAGATTTCCATTTTTCTTTTGTGATTCTCGGTTGCATGGAATACATGCTACGGAATTGCAGTTCCAATTTATGCTGATGCTAAAAATATCTCCTTTTGTCAAATATCTATCCACTTGAAAATAGTTTTGCAATGCCAAATCAATCATATTCTGGCGGTCTTCTGATTCAATAGGTGAACTTCCCCTTATTGTTTCAAGGGTACCACATTGTGGTATCTTCACAAAAGAAACCCTTAAATGTGATGCATACCTAGGAGCTTGAACCAAAGGTACCAATTCTATGTTGATGACAGAAGTCTCCGTGCTTTTTGCAGTAGCCTCACCATCCACTTTCAGGTTGAAATAGGATGCTAATGCCTCTTCCCCTTGGCATAGAATGGATTCTAAGCATGTTATGTGCAAATCGAGGTTAAAAGCTAAGAGAGGAGATATATAAGCAGCTTCATGATCTAACGTGTCACCATGAGGGAAAGCACAAGAAGGAAATGCAAGCATTATAGGGGGAGAGGGCAATTTAACACCAGATGTGCAGTCATTGCTGCCAGGAGGATCTAAGGCAACTGCCTGAGCAATTCTCTGGATGTTCATCTCAACATTCTTGACAAGCACCTTGCATATTAAGGGGGGAAGATGTATTAATATTTGCACTTTAACAGTAACTAATTACAAGGAATGGATTGTAGAAACTTAAAAATTTCCCGCAGTTTCACGTAGGTCACATTGGATGTCTTCTCTGAATTGTTCAACAGCGCATAATTTTTTATGCAGATAAAATAAAATCAATTCCCGTCTCCAGGTAAATTTTTATAACATGGAAATATAACCGTATGCTACGAAACGCACTTGGATTGCTTCTCTGAATGTGATAGATCATAGAACCGTCTCATCACTTTCGTATATCATGCTATCTTTTTTATAGGAAACAAATCCCCGATAAAGCAAATTACATCAGTTTAACATATACATTAGTTCAGTTATTTGACATTCGTTTGAGGTTCTATACTGTACATAATTGGAGTTTCAAAGTGGCACCCACTGCAAAGGACTAAAAAATGGGGGAAAGAACTACTAGCATGTCATGCAGAAGAATTACCAGTGAACCCGCAGTAATAGTAAGCCTTCTCAAAAGCGAAGTTGATAGGCCGACCAACGCAGAATCGTCAAGAGCAGCCGATTGAGGTTCTGTTCTCTCGTTTCCATCCTCCGAGAGTCGGAGAATGCCCACGGGTAACTGCAAATTCCTGAGAGAGTCGTCATCGAAGAGCTTGTCTCCGGCTCCAGGGCTTGCTTCCGCGCCTTGTGATGAGCTGAGCACAGAATTAATTAGCAACTTGGTGGAAGCGAGTACCAGAGGTTTCCTCCTTCCCGCCATTTGATGATGATTAAAATCATAAACCACCAAGAAAACCCTAATTTGTCAAATTCATATGCACGGTGGAAGAAAACCAATTGGCGCTGTCTCAAGTCTCAAATTGAAGTGGATGGTAAGTTCGGAAACGATGCAGGTGACGTTGGTCTCAGCTCGCTTGCTCTGACGCCACTTTTTTTTTGGCTGGTTTACAATCGCACGGGATTGCAGTTGCCAGTTGCCCTTTCGATATTTTCAATTACCAGCGATCAGCGAATGAAAAAAATTTGGGTGAAGTGGGGCAACAATATTCATTGTATTCGAAGGAGCAATGCTTAAAAAATCAGAATAATACTAAAAACTGATTAGGATACTGTTTTACAGTTTAATAATTTAAAGCCCGTTTATTTAAAATCAAAAAATAAGTAATTTTTAAATAATTTAAAAATTTTATTGAAAAATTATTTTATTGAGATCTTATAAAAAAGATAGTATTTAATGTTTGATTACAATAAAAAAAGTATTTATTAATTATTTATTTTTAAATTTTATGATATTTTTATAAAAAGAACTTATTATTATATTATTTCAAAATTTTATATTATTTTTATGTATTTTTTTAAATATTTTTTATCTATTGTATTAAATTATTTTAAAAATTACTTAAAGTAAGTACTTAAAATTTTTTTTAAAATTTTGATTATTTTTAAAAATTAAAACAAACATAATAAAAATTTACAAAATAAATTTTTAAAAAAATAAGTAATTTTTTATAAAATAATTTGATTCACAATAAATATAATAATTGTTTAAAATTGTTGTTATAAACAAAAGCACCAAAGTCCAGCGCATCTCTGTTGAATTTTATGGGGACCGAGTTAGCTTGTTAATTATTGATTCATATATAGTTAGAATTAGAATATAGATCAAGTGAAAAAAATTAAATAATAAATAATCGTAAGCCAATGTCAGATACAAGGGCGGAACCGGGCCTTAAGTTGTTGGGGGGCCGATTTTTTAAAAAATAAATTTATATTTAACATTTTAAAAAATTAATTTTATTAGTTAAAATATATTTTTATATGATAATTATTAGAAGTATAATTACATAAATATTTCAAGAAAATTAAAAAAATACAAGATACCATATATCTAATATCTAATATTTTAATTTGAAGAAAAATTTAAATATAATATATAAAATGCTGATATCACAAATATGTTTTCATTTTGTCACTACGTATTGATGTTTTTTTTTTTTAAAGGATAGGACATGATAAAGTTTTATGAAAAAAATTAACAAACCAATAAATGCATTAAAAAATTGAATGTTCTTTTTATTGAAATATATTCCCTCCAATCTTATTTATAATTCACTGTTAGCATTTTTACTGGAACCAAGAAAAACTTAAATTTTATTAATTTTGTCAAAAAATTTGACAAGTTTTAAACTTTATCCTCATTGAATATACATATTTTAAAAATAAAATATCTATCATTTATAACACTCTCAGCATTTAATAAAGAAAGAAGGATAAAAATAAACACGATAATTATTAAAGTACTTTATAAATAAGATCAAAATAAATATTTTCTCTTTACTTTATAAATAAAATCAAAATAGTACAGATAAAAGAAATGTGTGTATATTATATTATCTACATATTAAACCTATAAGTATATTTGTATAAATAATTAATTAGGATGCAATATTGTACTTTATTTTAACCAAAAACTAAGATGTGGCGCGACTTTGTTTTTCTCTAATTTTTTTTTTCCTGTGGGGTTTGAGCACTACCCTATATTTGTCGTGTTGAAGGGTGGTTGTGCTAGGGAGGCTGTTGGTCAACGTGGGTCCGCCCCTGGTCAGATGTTCATATATGAAACCTATCACTAAAAAGAACGCGGATGATATAGGATTTCACATCAAAATATGCTATTGTAGATGATTTGGATTGGCTGCCACCTCTATCTCCATTCCTCACGGGCTTGTGTTGTGGCGGTGTTACCAGCTAGCTGATATTTGGAATGCCCTAACGGAGAGTGAAGTATTGGGCATTTACTACTTCTCTTGATTGGGGAATAATTAAGGCCCAACTCAATATATGAAGGAATTCTCACTATGTAAATGGAATTAGAAATGAATTCTTAATATAAGCTTATTTGGTATTATAGATTTTGAATTCTTCAAAATCTTAATTCCAACAAAATAGCTAGAATATAATTCTATCCAAAGCATGATAGAATCAATCCAATTCTTTAAATTTTGTTCAAAATAGCCACTTCTATCCTTTTCATCGTTAGTTTCCTTCACCTTAATCCATCGTCGTTCTCTCCTCCACCTTCTTCTACTTTCAACTTCTCCTATAACTTGTGTCGACTTTCTCTTAGAGCTCATCAAACTTCATTGCTTGCAACAACCAACACCCATTATGCAACCGTTTTGGTGACTTATGAGCTTCTCACCACCATTGCAGGGTTGGTCATAGATCTAGACATGCAGTCTTGAATATGTTGGCAGTTTTGTGGTGTGGCGGGAGGAGATTTGGTTGGAAGTGTGTTGCAATAGGTGATTGAAAGAGATTTGGCTGGTTGGAGGTGTGTTGCAACAGGTCTGGTCATTATTGATAGGGTTGTTAGGGTGGGCATAAGTTTCTTTTTAATTGTGAAAATAATACTTTGGTCTTTCTCATTTTAAGTACATATATTTCATTTAAATTATATAAAGATTCTATTCCTAAACACACTTTCAAAGCCCAATTTTATTCCAATTTCAATTTTGATTCTTATTTTAATTTGAATTTTAATTTCATTAAAAACTCCTCTATCAAACCAAAAAGGGCCTAATAGTCTTTTGCTTGTCTAGTCCAATTTTTTTTTTTTTTTGCATAAGCTCCAACATTTGTAGGTTTTTAACCTAAGCTAGCTTGGTTAACAACTTATGTTGAGAATTTAATTGTTATTATGTATTCAATACTTGAACACACCACTCCCTCATTGAAGAGTAAGATAGTGAGATTGCAGGATTTATCTCATGAATATGAGTTGTGTTGTATGAGTTTCCATTACAACTTTGAATGTAAAAATTCACATTATGACTCGAGATGATGTATGCAATAGCAAGCATATTTAGTCATTTAACAACAAACAACCATAGTATTATATTTTCTTAGTGATAAGGCAAGAATTTATAAAATAAATTATAAAAAGAGTTTAGATACAATTTTCTTGGTAATAGCAAGGCCCTTGGTTATTATTCTGAAACACTATTTGATTTGAAAAGTATCTTACTATATTATGTATAACAACTATTATAAATTTCCTCTCATACCCTCCCTGCTCCCTAGTCCTCCTCAAGCTTGCTCGGCATGAAGCAATGCAAGTTGATCATCTTTTCCCTTAAAAGTTTAGTTCCTTTTTTTTTTTTTGGAAAAAATGTATCTTTTAATCCTATTTTGAAGCTTTTAAGTGATCATATCCTCCATGCTTCCAAGCTCTTTTCAAAGTTTACTGGCATCTTCATGGCTCTATTTGGGTGGTTCAAGAATAGGGTCCTTTTTTTGGGGCATTTTAGTGTGTTTGGATAAGGAAAAAAATTGATCCCCCCAAAATTGATTTTTTTAGCAAATTATCCAAATAGTCAAAAAAGGACAAAAATTGATTCCAAGGCCGTACGCATGCTTTCCCGTAAGCTCCGTCCATAAGCTTTTGCCAAAAGTTTGTCAAAAATGTTGGAAAAAATTACAAAGACAGGTCCAAAAAAAATTATAAAGAAAGCACATAATTTAATAAAAATAAAATTAAACTCTATGCTTTTTTCTTTTTTTTCTTAATAAAATTTAAACTTTGTATCTTTAAAAAATTAATATTTGGTATTTAAAAATTAAATCATATAATAATTTATATAGCTAAAAATTAATTTTGATTAAATTATCCAAACATCTTCAATTATGTTAAAATCAATTTTAGAAAAATAATATCTGAATAGATTGTGTTATAACATAATCAATTATGATTAAAATCTATCACTTAATTAATTATTTTTATAATCTATTATATCCAACTGAAACTCGACTTTTATAAGGTTTTTCTTTACCTGTCTTCCCTTGGCTAGAATTCTTTTATTTTTCTCTAGACTCGTTCCTTAGTTTTAAAGTTTGGATTCATTCTCATGGCCTTCCTCTTTCTTACTATGATGAGTCCATTGCTGCTTTTATTGGTAATAAAGTAGGCAAGTTTTTATCTTTTGAACATTCCCGTCTTTCCTTTAATGCTGGCCTTTGCTTATGTGTCTTTGATTCTTGTTTTTCGTTGCTTCCCTCTTCTTTGATTTTGTTTTCACATTTTGGCGAGTCTTTCACTATATCTGTCTTCGTGGAGAATATTGGTTGTGTGCGTGTGTGCTTGTTGTTTTCATGCTGGGCACACATATGGTTTGTCAACAGTTTCTTCTCTTAGCATATGTAATATTTAGGTTAACTACTCGAGTTTCTCTAAATCGGTTCAAATTGTTTTTATCGAGCCTGGTTATTCTTTGAAGGGATTTGAGGTTGTTTGGCCCAGCCTTAAATGTTCTCGAGATGGTTTTTCCTCATCTTCACCTCCAGTTTCACTTCGTGTTGTTACGCATTCTTCTTCTGCATTAGCTTGTTCTTCATTTGCCACTTCTAGGCGCAAATTCCTAGGGTGCGATCGTGGTCTTGATTTAACATTGTAGCCTGCTATGAAGTTTAAGCATAATCATTCTTCTGAAGGGTTTTCATGTTCTATTGTAATTGTAACTGCGTTCACCTCAATAAACCATAGTTGGGAATTTTTTTAACTCTTATGAGGTGTCATTTATTTGGTCAACTCAGATGTGATTCCCACTCTTGGCTGTGTTATTCTTCATGTGTTGGTTTAGTTTGATCTTTCTCTGCTTTCAGTGTCTCTCTACTTCAGCCTCATGAAAACACAAACTGGAGATAAAGCCTGGTTGGACTTGTGAGCTCTCCTCTGCTATAAATTTTAATGGTCTTTCAATGGGTAGATTCGGACATGGTGGTTGTTCAAGATGTCATTCTGTAGACCAAATGGACGAGGATCATCTTATGGAAGCTTCTGATATAGGGTCAGGTCTTGGTTTTACGAGCTTTTATTCTAAAAAAGCTCACCTTTCAAAATGATGGGTCGTTGGTTGGAGGGGTGTTATGAAATGGGTAGTGTTATAGTATCTCTGGTTGTTTCAGGCTGCTTACTTCTCCGTTTTTTTTTTTTTTTTTATAATTGCTTCTGTCGTAGTTGGTTCATGTTTGGCTCTCAGAGTTGCTTTCCATTTTTCTTACAAGCTTTGAAATTACTGGCTATTGTTACATTTTGGTGGCAATTGAGCCAAAATTCTGAGAACCTTTGGCTCTCATTTCTATGTCTGCATGGTATATACCTCAATTTGTGGAGATGGTTCTTCATTGATCGTGTAGGTTCTGGCGTTCTGCATTGTTGCTGGCACGTTGATCCTCTAGTGACTTGCAATGATAATCTTGAACATTACTTACCAAGTGGATCAATGCTCGGGGGTCTTTTTTAAAGTTTTAATGTTCTTTTGTTTGGCCCATATCTCTTTTTGGTTGGGCCCTTTGTTTGTTTGTATTGGATTCATGTTTATTGTTTGAATAAATTGTCCCTTGGTGACATCAAAAAAAAGAAAATTGCCTCTATCAAAAAAGAAAGAAAAGAAAAGCAAATTGTCTCTTAATGAAAAATGCGTATCTTTATGCAATAGCTGGTTTCATGAGTTCCATGATCTCCCAAATACTTCATCCAGCGCTTAATACAGGACAAACTTGATCAATTTCATGCTTATTAAGGAATAATTATTATACTTTTTAAATTGTTTAAAAAATGTAACTCTTTAATTTTTCATTCTCTGCATTTACTAACCACAATAAGTTACTTTCTCTAATTTTGGTAAAAATATAAACAATTTAGTCTTTATAGAAATTGTTTTTTTTTCCATTTTACCTATTGTATTTATTCACTTGGTTTTTGTGTTTACCCGTCATTCTTGATTTCTTCCTAACTTAATTCATTATTGTTAGTTAGGGAGGGTGAAAAAGAAAAAAACTATAATATATTTTTATGAGAATAAAGATATATTTAATTTTATTGACATGCTAATTGTAATTGAAAATTGCTTACATTTTAAACAGAGAGGAGTATTGTCTATAATTTCAACTGATAATAAATAAACAAGGGGTGAAATTATAAAAAAAAAATCAATTACTCTAATTTTGCCTTATCAAGGATAAAACAAAGCTTCCAACATTTCCCCTATATTAAGAATAAGCCGGAGTATTTAATTATTGTTAGCAATCTAACTAAGTCGAGACAAATAGATCTGATTTGGATTTCATTCAATGAATAAAGTTTCATAAAATCTTCATGAATGCTCGAAAGTTCAGTGAATATATCAACAAAAACTTCAGTGCGAAACATCAATTCAATCCTCTGCATCGTATCATTTTTCAGCGTTAAAAAAGGAAGTCTGGTTTTGGTCAACAGGGGGAAGAGATGCAGCTTGCTTGCCTTCACGCATATTCTTGGACCTCTCAGGTAATAAATGTTTCCTGTTGTGATTGAAATTTTTTTATTGCAATCACCCAATATCATAGGGAATTGGAGTATTATCATCTCTTGTCCAAATTAATTGAAACTTTGACAATCTTACAAATATTTTAGAAATATTTTCAACATATTTATCTAATACTATTGCTTATTTTGGTACTCCTTTCATTTTAAATTATAAAACATTTTTAAAAAAAATATCACATATCAATAAACTTCACTAAATATATTTAATAATCTTATTTTTTAAAAAATAAAAATATAAATTTTTAAAAATATTGATTATTTAATATATTAAAAAAAGAAGGGATGTAAATTAATTATAAAGAGATAAAGTATAATATTAAAATTGATATATTTAATGAAAATTTAATTTGTTCAAAATATTTTATATTTTAAAATAAATTTTTTTTTTAAAAAAACATTTTATAATTTGAGAGAGAGGGGGTATTTAAATTTAAAATCTCAAAAAAATTTGATTCACTATTTTTCATTGGTCAAACCAAATACCTTCAGACATGGCTGGAATTTCTATCTCGCTGCACTGAACCAAAATCAGCGTTGTCGCACAACACGACTTTGGTTCGCGCGTGCCATACTGCCGTTGGCTTATCACTACTGCCGCAGCTACAACGTCGCTGTCCGTTGTATCTTTATAATCCATTCATGTTTCTTTTGTCTGTTTGCATCAGCACAAATACAATGTCCTCCGTTTTCAGATATACAATATCTCTTATGATACTTTTAACATCATTGCTTTTCTTTTTATTATTTGACCACACACATGTTTTATTATATTTTATTTTGTGAACCATACAAGGAGGTAAATGAAAAAACTTTTTCATTATCGCTTTCTAATTCCTAATTGTAGCGCTCGGGGAACAGGGGCTTTTTTCCTTCCTCTTCGTTTGCTTCTCCAATCGTCCGGCGAAATTTAAGACCTTGTTATTCTTATCACCTTGTTTTTTTTTCCTCGCCATAATTCTTCTATTTCGGCAAAACTTTCAAGTGTCATTAGTATCCGACCATGCAGAGATTTCTAAATGGGAATCTTAATAAAGAAAATTCCAATTGATATCACCATATTCTCCCCCACCAAAAAAAAAAAAGACAGCCGCCATTCTCCGCCATCGGAACGGACCAATAATAAGGAGTCTAGGAAAACTATCTGCAAGTTGAAATGACAAATTTGTCCGATCCTATCATATATGAATATGAGATATACCTTCAGAACTGTAAAATGAAAGCCTACTTTTGTTGCCGCTCCACGACAATCTTCCAGGGACGAAGATTCGAAATATAAGGATATTTGCGTCATTTACGAAGAGCGAGTGTCGGTTACAGCTCGCTTCGCCCAAACTCAAAACTCGCGTTTAAACTTTAAACTATTTCGTGGAAAAGTATTTCTCCAGGTGCGCTATTTGGCGGGCAGCCGGGCAACCCAGCAGCCTAAGCACACGGACAAGGCATGAGCGAAAATTTAAATTAAATTAAAAATAGAAAAGAGAAAAATAAAAAGAAAAGGAAAGAAGCTGGAACCCAACCCCAAAGCCAGACCGTACACACTGCCCTGTCCTAGAGAGTGTGCGTGCGAGGCAGTGAGCTAGTGAGAGAGTAAGGGGAGGAAAGGAAGAGCAGAGACTCCGTTCTTGTGTACACATCTCCGTCACTCGGAATAGCGACGCAGCCGAGCAAGGAACAAAAGCGTCACCGATCTCTCAGAACATTCTAGACCACTGTAAATTTCTTGTGCAGTACCCTTTCGGGCCTGTAAAGTTTGTGAGTTGTACAGGATTCTCAGTACAAACAACCATTTCCATGGAGTTGTACGGTCGGAACCCGGCTAGGAATGGGTCGCAACCGGGTAATCAATATGAATGGCACGCATCAGGCGGCGAAACTGGGCTTGAAGGTGATTATATTAACTCTAGAGTTTCAAATTGCCCCGTTTTGTTTCAAATTTGGTCTTTTTACGATGTTTCTCTGTTAGGGTTTCCTGAATGCGGAAGTTAAGTCGGGGTTTGTGATACTTTATGTTTTAATTTTGGTATTCATGTAGAGCCGATGTGGCAACTAACCATCGGTGGCAGCGAATCTTACCCGGAGCGACCAGGCGTGCCCAATTGTGTGTATTACATGCGAACCGGGTTCTGTGGATACGGTAGCAGGTGCCGTTACAATCATCCTCGTGATCGTGCTGCGGTATACATTGATAATTTTAAATTAGTTGTTTTTGGTCCGATCATAGTGTTAATTTCTCCCTGATGCTTTATCAATATTTCTATAGTTGACATACCCTTTCCTTGCTGCTGACTTCAGTAGAATGTGTTGAAAGGTTAATCAATGTTCAATTTTTATGTGATCGAGAATCGTAGTTCTTCTTCTTCTTCTCCTCTTTTGTTCAATTTTTTCGGAATTTACACCCCCAAAAAAAAATAATTGTGGTATTTTTGTCTGAGTTACTAATTATCAAGGAAACTGATTCTTGAATTGGTCACTGTCAACTGATCTTTCAAACAGCAATCAGCTGAGAGGATAAATTTATTTCATGTTGCATAAATGCACATTAATAAGAGGAAAAATAATAAGAAGGTGGATATGGATAAGTTTTCTTACCATCTTCGGGTTTGAGAAGTGATATTTAAATATATGAATCTCAATGGAGCCAAAACTACTCAGGTAGCAGCTGCTGTTAGAGCTACAGGGGAGTACCCAGAACGAGTGGGGGAACCTTCATGTCAGGTACTGTTCTTTATGATCTTCGCATTGTATATTCCTGGAATTGCCTCACCTTTCACTTTCTCTGGCCAATTGTTGTTGCTATCTTTACATTGTAGTTAAAATAGCTTTGTTCTGGTTGGACTAATCTGGACCTCTTCTCACGAGCAGTATTATTTAAAAACGGGGACCTGCAAATTCGGTGCATCCTGTAAATTTCACCATCCAAAACACGGAGGTGGATCATTAAGTCAAGCTCCACTAAATATTCATGGATACCCGTTACGCCCGGTTTGACTCTTCTTCCTTCTCGTGTAATTGAGGGTGAATCATGCAATAGTCAAATCACGTGTTAATTTTTGCAGGGTGAGAAAGAATGCTCCTACTATTTGAAAACGGGGCAGTGCAAATTTGGCATGACCTGTAAATTCCATCATCCTCATCCTGCTGGTGCATCAATGCCAGCATCTGCACCTCAGTTTTATCAACAGGTGCAGTCTCCTACAGTCCCTCTAGCTGAACAGTATGGGGGGGCATCCAACAGTTTGAGAGTAGCTAGGCCTTCAATGTTGCCTGGTTCATATGTGCAAGGGGCTTATGGTCCTGTCCTTCTTTCTCCAGGGGTTGTTCCCTTTGCAGGATGGAGTCATTATACGGTATAATCACTCTGAATTATAGTGTTAGTCATCCTTTTTTTGTTTTTTTAATGTTATTTAGTACTTCTTTTACTTAGGATAATTAAATTGTGCAATTGGCACAGGCACCTGTGAGTCCTGTGTTATCACCTGGTGCTCAATCTGCTGTTGGGGCTACTTCTCTGTATGGAGTGACCCAGTTGTCTTCAACAACATCAGCTTTTGCTAGACCATATACTCCTCTTCCCTCTACTACTGGCCTTTCGGGCAGTGGCCTGAAGGAACAATTATTTCCTGAAAGGCCTGGTGAACCTGAATGCCAATACTATCTGAGAACAGGAGACTGCAAATATGGATCAGCATGTCGATATCATCATCCTAGGGACTGGACTGTGACTCGGCCACTTCTCAGCTCCATTGGTCTTCCTTTACGTCCGGTAAGTATGGTCACATGCTTGATTCAAAGTTATGTTCAACTTGCTTTGTGCTCTTTTGTAGTTTGGTTAAATTTCAAGTTATATGCGAGGTTGGGGGGATGATATTTGATGCTATCCATAGTTTTTTAAGTTTGGTTGTTCTTGTCTAACTGCTTATCTTTGGACAAATTGTTGATGAATTTTTTAGTTTTTGTTATGTATATATATATTATGACATGTGCGAGTAAGTTTAGCCTTTTTTTGGTGTGTTTAGCTTCACAGTTGTATGTTGAATGCTTAATCCCTTGTGTTTATCAGTCTATGCTTTGGATAAAAGAATGGATTCAGTTATATTTCCATAAACTTGTCATTTTGTCATTAACATGCGTTTCTGATAATTTCATTTTTCCTGAACTTGTCTTGAAGTTGAACTCCACACTGACCATGAATCTGAAGGTCCCCATTTTATTCCTTATTTATGCACTTCTGGTGTTGAGTTTAAATCAAACACCTTCATAAATTCTAAATAACTTTGATGTAAATATGTATTTTTATTTTGGGGCATGCGTCTTAGCAGCATGCTTGAGACAAGCAAACCCATGGAGAAACCAAGGGCGCACTTGAGTAACAAATTTTTGGATTCCAAAGCATCACTCCTTATTTTTGAGTGCCTGATCGAAGAAGAGCATGGATGGGAATATATTCTATCAAAGGTTTATGTACATTACATGTACAGCATTATAAATTTTGGTTGCAACCAAGTTTTTCGGCTTGTAATGGGATAGAGAACGTGAGAAGCAGTTTAACACATTTTGGGGCTGTAATTTTGTTTACAGAAAGCTTGCATTCAGAACTGCAGTAGTGACTTAATATGAAGTCTAATGGCTTTACTTAAACTTATTTATTTTTACTTTGCTCTACCACTTTTCTTAGCTGTGTATATCAGTGGCTTTGAGAGTGTTTCCTTGCAGTGTTAGCCACTTTTACAGGCACTGAAGGATGGTAATAATCTTTAATCACATTTAAATAATGGGGTGCTTTCCCATTTTCCTTGAATTTAGATTATGTTCTTTTAGTATGTACATCGGAGCTAATATATATTTTCTTTGCAGTTAAATGCCCATCTGGTGTCGCTAAGATCATTTATATGATTTTTTATTCACTTGCATGTGTGCTAGTGTTGGCCCAGATTTTCCTAGCCTTTTCTTATCTTGCATTTTATTATTCTGTGAATGATGTTTTGTGATTTTTTTACTTCTGCTGTTTAATTTGACGCTACCTACTTGTTGAAAGAATTGCTCTGACTGATCATTTCCAAGCCTGCTGTGTAATAGCATGTTTTGAGAGATAATAAGAAATGGGACAAATATAATGTTATTGGATATTATTTGTTGCTAACAACACAAGGATTAAGTTCTAAACATTCTCATGTTGTTTTGCTGCATTACAATTAATGTTCTTTCTTTTGGGAATTTTTTCTTAATCAATCCCTTTTCTAGAAAACAGGGGGTGCAACCTTGTGTTTTTTATCTACAAAACGGGCATTGCAAGTTTGGCTCCACTTGCAAATTTGACCATCCTCTGGAGTCTGTGAGATACAGTCCGTCTGCATCCTCTCTCATTGATATGCCAGTAACTCCGTACCCTGTTGGATCCTTGCTGTCTACCCTGGCTCCTTCAACAGCATCTTCAGAGCTGATGTCAGGCTCAAAAGTGGAATCTTTTTCTACTAGAATGCCATCCTCCGGAAACGGTTCGAGCAATTCTGTCAGTTTAATTTTCTCACAAGGTGGGACCGTCTCTCTTTCTGATGTGCAATTCTCAACTCAAAGTTCTACTCCTTTAAGCAGTAGCAGAAGCACTAGACAAAGTGGTGACATACGATGATCAGTCTAATGCTAAACTGACTCCTTATGATCTATTGGATGTGATTTTCCATTGCTCCATTGCTCCTGTCGATAATCTTAGTGATTTCCTAGTGGCAACTATTCAAAGTTTCAGTCCCAGCCGACAATTCATCAAGTTCTGGTTAGCCCATTCTAGGTCATTCTCTTCAATGCTATTCTCATCTGATTTTATATCATCTGAAATAAGCTTTAACAGGAGAAAACTTGCCTAGGTTTGTCTTCTGCCTTGGATGATTTTTGTTATTTTATTTTTGGTACTAGTGTGATATTTATCATACCATGTGTATATTATATTGTGGCTGTTGCGTGAGGCCATAGCCATTTATGCATACGCAGGTTTAGAACTCAGATTACAGTTTTACTACTGCAGTGAAAAATAACTGGCAATTGTGCTCTCCTTGTTACAGGTTAATTAATGTGATATTCATTTTCAGTGTTGATTAATAACGAAAAATTGTGTGTAGTATATATGTTTGCCCTCGAGATTATACTCACCTCTCACTTAGTGAGAAGAGTGCAATTTCTTTGGCATAATGCCAGGGAGCTTGGTGCAAGGAGTTAGATATTATGATTACTGCTGGATTATTTTGAGATCCATGTGGAAATAAGTTAATTTACATAGATTTTTGAAATTTTTTGGTAATTTTTTAAAAATATTTAATGGCAGGAGTACATGACTCCACAATAATAATATGCCAATTTTCTCTCTGCAGGGTATTTGACACCACGCAGGGAATGAATGAGTGAACGACCCGCGTCCTGTTTTGAAACTAATTTGCTGTGGAGGTAACAAGGGAATTACGGAAATGACTCTTTATTTGCGCGTTAAGTAGCAAACTGCGGGCCTTTGGTGTTTTGGTTTTTGGGGTAAAGACGCGGGCCTCAAGTCAAAATCAAACAAAATATTACTCTGTTTCACAATATGGGCCTTTTAAAATTATTTACACGCAAACTAAGAAATACAATAAATGCATAAAAGTATGGGTTAAGTTGCCTATCATCATTTGTTTTCTAAACTTTGACATTTATTTAAAAGTGTTGAAGTATTTGCCCAAAAAAGGTGGAAAACCAGAAAAATATTCATTAATGCTGCTTTAGATTTCTTAAAAGGCTTGTAATGAGAAGCACCATTTTTTTTTCCCATGAAAACCTACATTGTGAAACGAAGGTAGTTGAGCATGGAATAGATTTGGAGCATATGATGTTGCTATACCTTTATGCTGTTACTTTGCTTGTGAGTACGACTGGAATATGTTAAATGTGCAAGAGTTTTGGTTCTAATGGGCAATAATATTGAGGAATATAAGAGAGGTGAGGAGGTTATATTTAGAACTGGTAAGTTGGGCAGAACAAGCTTATTTGGGTTGAGTTTAAAATATCTTATCATTTTTAAAAAGTCTAAATAGTCAAGTTTGATCATTATACTTGTAGGCTTATTTAGGTCAGCCAGAATTTTCTAAACTTTTTTAAATTTTTTAAATAATTTTAATTTTTAAATAATTATGTTACTTATAAAATATTATTTTAACGTTAAAAGAATAAAATAAAAAATAATAACTAATTAATTTTGTATTTAAACAGTTCTGTTATTATTTTGTTGTATTATTACAATTTGTTTATGAATGTTTTTTCTACTTATAAATTAATATTTTAATTATTTAAATATTGCTCTTACTATGGTTATATATAAATATTTTATATATTTTAATTAAATTAAATTATTTTAATTACGATTAAGTTTATCTCAATTTAATCATGTTTAGACTACTAATTTAAAATTATTATCTTGATTAGTTTAAATTTTTTAATAACTTTTGAGTAAACTATTTTTCATATTTTAACAATATAAAAAAATAGTCATTATTATATTATATAATTTAAAATAATTTTATTATGAGTAAAATATTAGTTTTTTGAAATTGTTTTTTTCTTTAACTTTTCATATTATTTAACCTCTACATATGAGGGTATTTATTCTAATTTATTCTTAATTTTAATCAAGTTTGACATGGACAATAATCATGTAATTATTTAGAAATATTGTTCTATTTATTCTTTTTATTTAATGGTAGAACTAAAAATTCGTACATGCTCAAATTTTATTTTTACTTTAAAATTAATTATCTTATTTTATAAAAAATATTTTTTTGATACGCGAATAATGCATAGGATTGAAACTTTTTTTAAAAAAAATTGTATCTTAAAATATAAAAATTAATATTAAAATATATTTTTAATATTATTTTAAGATATTTTATAGGTTAAAAATAATAAAAATATGAAAATATAAATATTTTATTTTTTTCAGAAAAGAATTATAGTAATGTACTCAAATATATTGTATTTTAGTATAAAATGACATAAAGCCTAAATAATTAATTAATATTAATTATGTTATATATTTTTTAAAAAATTTAATTTTTTATTCGGGTATTCAAGGCTCGAATTTTTTCAAGCTTATATAGGCTGACCCAAATAGGCCTGAACATAAAAAATTATTTTTTTCAAAGTCCAACCTTAAATTTTTTGGATGAGTTTGGATTGGCCCGTCAGGCTTAATCTAAATTACTGACTTTAATTAAATTTGAGAATTGCTCATGGGGATTTTTAAAATTTTTCCACCTATCTTCAACAAGAGGGCCCAAAGCGCTCAATTGATGCCAGTCTGGACAATGAAGATGACAATGACTCGATGCCAAATGCAAGGAAAGAAATTTCATTTCCTGTGTGGGTGTGTTTGGAAGATGAGGAAAGTTAGCAAGAGAATGGGTGAGGGAAAGCTCTGTAAGAATGTGTGGTAGTAGGGGTCACTTTGTGATTCCTTGGAAGTTTGTTTTCTTTCTTTTGGCCAAAGGTAATTTCTTGGAAGTTGGAATCTTTACTTCTATTTGTTTATGGGGAGGGTTCTCCCCTCGAATAAGGAAGGCCTAACCACCCCTACCCCAAAATTTTTTCCCCCTCTTGGTGGGTCCAAGGATGAGGAGATTAAATGCAATTATATGGGCCCAAGCCACGTGTCACGTCCCTACCCTTACAGCGTAAGAAAAAATTGGCTACAATATCAAAATGCCCAAATATTTGGGCATAAGCCTCCCATGTAAAACCTGTATCAATAATTATGATTTTATGTATGAATAATTTCAATATCTTGTTTATTCATAACAAAATATTTTCTTTGTGCGGCAGTAAAAAAAAACATACTTTTTTGAAGAGAGATATTATTTCACCAATCAAATCACAGGTATTTAACATTTTCATACCTAATGATTTTCCGTGAAGTGGTAACGAAAGGTATAACTTATACAAATCTTTTTATTTTTTAATTAGTAAAACTTGCAGGGAATCATTGGTCGAAAGTGAAAATATTTTTTTTTAGAAAAATAACAACATTTCATTTCTTTATTTTTTTTTTTTTGCTTACTTGAGGACATCCATAAATCTTCAATAATATATATGTTTTAGAGACGAGTGGAGAAAAGGGAAGGGGATTTTGATATTTTTGCAAAAAAAAAAAAAAAAAAGTCTTTCAAAGTCTCTGGTTTCATCCAAGATTTGTTTCTACATTTGGGACTTACGCGATTTGCCTAAATATTTAAGCTTTTTTGTCAAGGTCGATTTTCCCTACAATATACTTTCAACAAACTACATGGTGCTCCCCTACCATGGGGTCTTGCCTCACAGTTCCATCAAACTCATTGAAATGTCACGTCCCTTTGAATCAAATGAACACACGTATCTCACCCACCTGCAGTAATTTCCTATCACGCATTTTTGTTTCCCAGCATCTTTCCAAAGTGTATCTAGTGAGCAATGATTCTTGTATTTTACTGGCTTCCTTGTATGAGCAATATACATCGAAGAGATAGCTACATAACATACTAATAATTATGTGTTTACATGCCTTGCTAGCATGCGTCGAATTATCCCCTTGAGCTTGATTGGTTGTTGGTGATCAGTGGTGGAGCCACGTTTGCGTGAGAGTAGGCAAATGCAGCTCCTCATTTTGAGACAAATTACGAGCAGGTATTAAATTTTGCAATTTTACATCCTCTACTTTTGATATTTTACACTCTTTGAATTAAATAAAAAATATTTATGCTCAAAAACTTATTAGATGTATATCATTTTAATAATTGAGATAAGATATGAAGAGTATATTTGTATAAAAAATCATATTAACATGTCCAATATAATTTTCTAAAAAAATGATAATCATTTTACTAATGTTATTATAGTTATAGTTGGTGTAATTGTTATTTTTAAAAAAATATTAATTTTTAAAATTAAATTATCTTGCACATCTAACTCTAGGCCCTGACTCTGCCACTCTCAATGTCTTGAGTTTGAAAGTGCACGAACAACCATATGCATATCCACAATAGAAAGTATGCGTTCTCGCCAACTTCTGAAGTTGTTGCCAAGTATCTCAATCCTGGGGGTATCTTGGAGAGGCTTGGCAATAGGGACGATTGGAAAAACAATTGGAGGCACATTCTCCCTTCAAATAATAATATAAATCATTTTTTAAATGTATTCCTAGCTTAAATATGAGACATTGGGTGAATTTTATATTTTTTTTTCATTTG